GAGCGAAGATGTTTAAAAAAAAGAAAGAAAATTATTAACACTTTAAGAGAGTAAACAAAAAACATGTAATAGATATAATAGTTCATGCTCAAGTAAATGCTCATGTTTTTGAGTGAACAAACTTATTTTATTATTATTAAAATAATAATAATAATAATAATAAGTTATTATTATTATTATTATTATTATTATTATTATTATTAAGTGAACAAACAGTTGAAAAAATAATTCAAATAAAAAGATATTAAGATTTTAAGATTATTACTTGACTTAATCGGCTTTTAGTTGATTAGTAGGAAATTCATAGTTGATTAAATCGATTATTTGATTTTTCAAAATTGACTTATTTCGACTTTAACTTGTCAACTTTTAGTTGATTAATCGAAGTTGATAACAACATGCATGTATATAAGTGTGTGTGTTCACGCAATAAAAATCTGTAAATAGAATAGCAGGCCTTGTGATGAATAAAAACTGCGCGACGCATAAGCACGACGTGATTTTTGACGTCATTAAATTCTTTTTATTTGCTTTTCATATTTATCGACATTAACGGCACCAATTTACTCAATTACCACAAAACTACTTTAAATCGTTAATGTAGAAATGTTATTATTTAAAAATGTTTTGGAATGTTTCGTTTTTTTAAATTTAAAAGCATTTGTTTATTTTCTCGACGTTTGACACGTTTTGTCTATACTAAACGAATAAAAAACATAAGTTTTTCAAATAATTATTTTTTCTTTTTAAAAAGTCAGAGAGTAATAAACTGGAAATTTTAATATTGTACAATTAAAAACTGTGCAATAGCTAATATTTTTACTAGCGATTTTATATAATATTTATTTATTTATTTCTTTTTATTTATTTTCATAAAGCGGTTGATAAGCACAATCACTTGTATTATTAAAAAACTTTAACGAACATTTTGAATAGATCTTTAATGTTTACAAGGAATTTTATTTTTGATAAAATAAAATAAAATATTAAAATAAAAATCATTTTGGTATAAAAGAAATATTTCAGCAAAAAAATTATTCTTAAAAATTAATATTAAAAATTATTCTAAAAACTTTTGACGTTCTATTTTTCAGCAGCTGTTCTTGAGCACGCTTCATTGAGTTTCGGTAACTTTTAACAAAAAAGCGATTGTTATTATTTAAGTAATTTTTTTTGAGTTACTTTTTACAAAAATGTTAATAACTGTACTTTTTTATTGAATCAAGTAGAATACGTTTTAATATTAATCCTTTTTTTTTTTTATATTTGCGCTTACCAATTTTTAAAATGTTTCTTTTTTTTTTTCGAAATTACTCTTAAATACTTTAAATATGTCTAACAGTTAATAAACATTTTTAAATCTATGGAATAATTTCAAAACCTAACAAACACGTGTAAAATAATTATTTAAGTTAAAAATCTAAAACTAAAAGAAAGTATTTTTGTTCAATTTTATTGACAAATTTGCTATTGCTGATTAATTTTGTTAAAATGCTAGCTTAAAAAGATTTAAACTTTTTTTTAATCTGAATTTTTTCTACTTGTAAATAATGAGCATATTTTTTTTTTTTGTAATTCAAACTTTTATATAAACTGCGTGCGGTTTTTAAAATACTTTATTAAATGTTAAAATAATCGTAAATTACTTTATTAAAATTCTGCTCAAAAATATACTTGAACAAAAAATTTTTTGCTCGACGCAAATAGCCCTAGCTACACGCAAAATCGCTCTTGGACAACGTAAAATTCACATCGCGCGACGTTTTATCACAAGGCCTGGAATAGGTAAAGTATATTAATAATAATATAGATAGTTGCAAATGTTCAGATCGATTCCACCTAGTTACTACCACAACACAGTGGGTCAAAATGCCCATTTTTGTGCCAAATTTTTTTTTTTATGAAATTGATTTAAATAACATACTTTGAGCTTCTTAATATATTTGTGACTAAATAAAAAAAAGAAAATTTATTGTTTTTTTTTAATAATTAAAAATACAGCAAAAAAATAAAAAAAAATATGCAGTTTTTCAATTCAAACAAAATCCACAGAATAAACATAAAAAAATTACAGTATAATTTTTTTGATAGGCATACAATTTTATGAAAAAATACTTTCTTGTCTTATCAACTCATTTAACTCATACAACTTTAAGGCAGCCATCAATGTCTGCATATATTTAAATGAAGTATTTACAAATTTACAATGTTATCTCCTGCTAATAACAACTCCAAAACCTCAACAGGAAAGTCTTTCTTTTTTGAAGTGCAGGTTTGCCTCAATGATGCTATGACAGGATCAGATGAGCATAGAAATCTTTTCAAAATGTCCTCATTTGCCATATATCTTGAAGCTTTTCGAGCATGACGTTCACGAAACCGTTTAAAATATTTGTTGGTTGACTCCTGTGCTTCTTCACTCATCATACCAATTGGAAGTGACATTCTATTAATTATTGCTGGGCCGTGGATCAGCAGTTTGTGGAGGCTTTGTGGCATGTAGTACCATGGGTACAGCTTCACAAACATTTTTGCAGTTTTTGTACATATCACGGTAAACTTTTCAGTATTTACTTCATAGCCACTTGATATGGTTGACAAAATAATGTGCAATTTTAAAATTAGTTCCTTATTGACACCTGTTATATTTGCCTGGTTCCTTATTGATACCTGTTATAAAAGAAATGGCATCAGTAAATGCTCTTCGAGAAGTGTTGCCATCATTAGATGTACCAGATCTTCCAGACTTTGGTTGATCAACAACAAGACCCATCTGATGAAGAAAAGCTTTTTGAATGTGAGACTTTGTGTCAGCAACTTTTGCTTTGTCTTCTGCTGTTTTTGCTTGCCACTTTTGATGAGCAATTTGTAACCAATATGCAGAAAACATTCAAAACATCTAATCCAGCAATGCAGTGTAGATAAACCATACTGCAAGCCTTTTGCCTGGTAATTTCTTACTATGCTGGCATCAATGTTGTTCATCTCTTTTGGTGAGCATCCACAGATAGAACAACACTGACTTGAGTTAGTGGCCTCAGATAAAGCTGTGTGTACTTTTCCATCAATCATTGTTATTTCAATCACATGCTTTACTTGAAGTTCTTTGCCATTGCTTAATATAATTTTTGTGCAATTTAAATTCCTAAATTCTTCTTTTAGTTGAGCTTCTTCAGAGATTAATACTTGTTTAGACTCATTTTCAAACTGAAAACGCAATGGGCGACAATACAGAGTTGATGATGGTTTTGGGTTTTGCCACAAAGTTGTCTTTTTTCCACCAGCAAATGTGCTTAAGTCAAGTGGTACAATGCATGTTAAAAACAAAGACTCTTCTATTTTTATATTACGGATACCACTTTCAGACACTGTTTGCTTATAGACACTTTGTCCTGTTGAGCCATCAAATCCTGCTTTGTGTCTTAATGTAGCAAATATGGTTGTATCACTAGCAACTGTTTCAATAACTTCATTCTGTACTTGACATAGTCTTTGTGCAGTGTGGTCTACCAAGCTCTGCATTGAGATTTTAGCAAAATAATCAGCTATCTCTATTTCATTTGGATAGCAAGATAATTTTGCTGCCTTTATTATGTGATATAAAGGATAAAGTTCACAGTTTTTTCTCATAGCAACATTTCGATGTAGTTGATAGCCATCTTTGGTCATATTTGTATCTAAAAGTAAAGCTAGAACCTCATTGCCAGATAGTTGTTGAGACTTTTTTACTACTGTCAAAAATATTCTTTACTGCATGTAACTCATCAAGTTTATTTTCTTTTTTAAGAGTAACTTTTGCCGCAAAAAGTAGTTCATTGGATGAATGCCCTTGTTGTAGAGAGTTGGTACGCCTGTACTTTGTTCGAAGTGAACAGTCATCAAAATTCTCCATTGAAGGCCTGCCACGTGTATCTCGTATTTCACAGGAACATGAGTAAAAACATCAATCTCTGACTGTAGCCACTCTTTGTGTTTTTTTTCAAAACAAATACGGTTACCTTTTAAGTCCTGCCATCTTTTTCTCATATGAATTAGCAATGTTTCCAGTTTAGGATTAGGATTTACCAAATTCATGCCATTGATAACATCCTTTAAAACATCATGGTCAGAGATTTGTAATTTATTTTCTAGTATGTAGGTATATTTATCAATGTATTTCATTTTATCCTATAAATTCCAAAATATACTCATTAGAAATCATTTAAATGAAAGTATATTAGGTTTAAAGATGAAGTGTTTTATTTTAATTAAAAAAACCAAGTGATTAATTAAAAATTATTTTATTAAAAATCCTGTAATTTATTTGTCGCGGACAAAATTTTTGTTATACCTCGCTATCTATAAGTTAATTTGTAGACAAGGTGGTACTTTGTTGAAGCTAAAACTAACTTTAAATTATAATATGTATAGTAAGTAAGGATTTTAATGCATTTTCAGACTGGAGGATAATGGAGTATTTTTTAATTAAATAAAGTAAGTAAAAATTACACTAAAATAACCTGTAAAAACATATCATCTTAAAAATAAAATAAAATTTCTAACTTACAAGAAAAAAATGTGCAGCGAAGTTATTTGGTTTTAAAAAAGATCAATCTATCAATGTATAAAAAAATTATAGCACAAATAATTTAAATTAAAAAGTAGTTTACAGTTTCTGTGTAGCAAAACATTTATTTTATTTATTTTCATTTAAAAACTTACAAATCTAAATAAAAAATTTAACTTTAACAAGCCATAAAAAATTTAATATAAAAGCTAGTGACTAAAAAATATCATTTTTTAAAAGCTTGATAAGTATGGAGAACTACTATTACCAATAAACCTACATTGAACATGCAATTAAACATATACTATATATTTTCTATATATTTATTTTATACTTTTTCATACAAAATTTAAACCTTTGCATGTCGATTGCTATTATTATTTCTTGTGCACACGCAAATCAGTAAACCTCTAAGAAAAATCTTTGACAAAATTTCATTATATATTTTATATAGGTTTAACAGCAGATGCTCGCATTCTTGTTAATGCAGCTCGCGTTGAATGTCAAAGCCATAAACTAAATGTAGAAGATCCAGTTTCATTAGAATATATAACTCGGTATATTGCTAGTCTCAAGCAAGTAAGTTTAAAAATTCAAAATTTTTTTTTTAAAGTTTTAAAATGTTTTCTGTTATTTTTTATTTTTTATTATGACTGTTTAGAGTTAAAAATTTTTTGATTGTGCTTTATTCAGAAATACACACAGAGCAATGGTATGCGTCCGTTCGGTATTAGCATGTTAATTGTTGGTTTTGATGATGATGGTTCTGCACATTTATATCAAACTGATCCCTCTGGCACATATCATGAATGGAAGGTTCTGAGCTTACTACCTTACACAGATGATTTTTTTATATGTTTTTTGTGCGCGTTGCAAAAAATCATTTATACAAAGAGTAACAAATGTGGATGTTGTTCTGCACATTTGTTACATTTTCATAAGCATTTTCATATTTAAATTAATACTACATTAAAAATTTTTTTGAAAAAAATATTTTTTTAGGGGTAGCTCAAGACCCTTAAACATCCGACAAAATTAATGAAAACACAAATTAAAAAAATTTATTTAAAAAAACTAGGAAAATATCTACTTTTTTATTTTTTGTTAATAAATGATAGTTTTTAAGCCACAAAATCTAAACTTGTAATCTTTATATAAAATGATTAATGTTTTTTAATGTTTTATAAAATTTCACTTCTTTTGAGATCCAACATAATATGTTTTAAAAATTTTTTTTTTCAAAATATTAGGGACCCGTCTGATGTTTAAGGGTCTTGAGCAACCCCTAAATTTTTTTTTATTCAAAAATTTTTTAAATGTAGTATTAATTTATTGCATAAAACACATTTAGGGGGTACCTTCAGATATTTAAAAAAATGTTGTTTGAGAACCACCCTAACATATTTGCACATGTAAGATGCATGTGAATGTTTCTGTTATTCATTTTAGGCCAATGCCATTGGAAGAAGTTCTAAAACAGTTCAAGAGTATTTAGAAAAAAACTATTCAGATGAAGAAGCAGACAATGATGATAGCATTGTTAAACTTGCATTGAAAGCTTTACTTGAGGTCAGGATTTTTCTTTAAAGTAATTTAATATTAAAATAATAATAATTTTGAGCTTTATACCATTATTTAATTTAAATTGTTTCAATATCTTTCAGGTTGTTCAAACTGGTGGTAAAAATATTGAAATGGCTGTAATGCGTAATGGCGAACCGATGCGACTTCTAAGCACAGAAGATATAGACAAATATGTTAAAGAAATAGAAAAAGAAAAAGAAGAAGAGTTAGAAAAGAAAAAAGCAAAAAAACTTGTATTACAAACAGAATAGAGTTTATTCAATAAATGTTATTACAGTTTAGACGTCAGATTTTTACAATTTATTTTTGATCAAATGTTATAAAATCAAACGTAAAGTTAATATCAAACAAATTCAAAAGTTATTTTAATGATGTGCAACTACTATTTATTATACTTTTTTTTTTGAAATAAAAAAAAAGTTTTATAAAAATGAAGAGTTTTTTTATTTAAATAAATTTTGTTATTTGTCTTTGTAAATTTAATCAGTAAAAGGTTTAACAAATAAACAATATAAAATCATCCTTTTTTGGCAGTTTAGAGTTTTTAAAAAGTAGTAATTGAAAAAAACTCATTGAGAAAGATTGTCTTCAACTCCAGATTTTTTGTTTTTTAGATGAATAGTATAAAATCTTGTTGGATGTTTGCAGAGTCCATAAATATTTTAAAATTTTCTGTTTATAAACATTGTTGGAAACAATTATATAATAAAAGCTTGTTAAAGAATATTTTACTATGTCATACCAGGACTTTTACTGATTCAAAAATTTTTAGCCATAAAAGTGGGATTAGTGCTGATTCTGAAAATACTACAGTTAATGTGACATATATTGATCGTGATAATAATCATATTGCTGTTAAAGGGAAAGTTGGTGACAATGTTTTGTACTTAGCTCATCAGAATAATATTGATTTAGAAGGAGCATGTGAGGCTTCTTTAGCATGTTCAACGTGTCATGTGTATGTAGATAATGACTTTCTTGATAAGCTGGATAAACCTCTGGAAGGAGAGGAAGACATGTTAGATATGGCTCCATTTTTACAAGATAACTCTCGACTTGGCTGTCAAATAATTTTAAAAAAAGAGCTGGATGGTATAACTTTTCAGCTTCCGAAGGTGACAAGAAACTTTTATGTTGATGGTCATGTGCCAAAACCACATTAATTTTTTTATGTTTTATGATTGCATTATTGCAATCATAGCATTAAATTAAAAGAAATTCTTTCAGCAAATATGCCTGTTTTCATTATATATAATGCATTACCTTAAAATATTTGATGGATGAAAATCTGAAATAAATAAAGAGAAACCTTGTAGGATTAATATTTGTTTTTTATTTATTCCAATAAATGATGCAAATCAATTATGGTTTTCTAAATACCATGTGAAATATTGATTTTATGAAGTTCTTTTTATACTCAATCAAATGTTAGTGACAATGTGTGTTCATATTAAAAAAATTGTTAATGGCTTCTTTTAGAATAAAAATTTGTATTAATATTGATACACAGTAATTGTATTTTATTCAATAAATTTTTGAAAGAAATATTTTTATTTCAAAATTTTTAAACATTCAATTAAATTTTTTTCTAATGTTTTAAATAAAGATTTTAACACTTGTCTGTGCATGCAGCATTATGGTGTGTCATTTTTATTCTTTTTTTTGAAATTGTAGAAAGACTAGTTTTTTATTTGTGGGAAACAGTATTCAAAACTTTTATCTTGGTAATTTTAAAAAATTAATTGCCCCTTAATATTAACAGAATTTTTTTTTTCTAAATTTTATTCTGAGTATCAAAAAAAGCATAATTAAATTAAATATTTTAAACTAATATTTATTTAAAAAAAAAATAAATGAAGAATTTAGATTTTATTAAAGGTAAACTACTTGTAGTAGTTTCCAAAAAGATGTGTCTCCTGAAAAGTGTCTAATTGATATTTTTCAGGAAACTGACTCTAAAGTCCCAATTTTTTTAAAAGCAAATTTTATTTTTAAAATCCTTTTTTACTTACGCTTATTTTAATACTCATTGATCTAATTAGAAAATAGAGTTTTTTGATAATATTAGCGGGCAGTTAACATTTCCAAGGAAAAACTTTATTTTTTTAATTATTTTTCTTTCAACTTTTAAATAGTGTTTCCCATAAATAAAAAATACTCTTTTTATAATTCGAAAAAAAAAAGACACACCCTAATCCAACATCTCTGATAAAATCTTACTGAAATAGCTACCTGCAAGGGCTTCAGTACACGCATTGACCAAGGGTTTGGGTTAGAACAGTTTTTTGTTTCTGAAAATAATATCTGAATTAAATCAGAATTTAAAAACAAGTGTGCAAAACATATTAGGACCGTGTCAATCTATGTTTCCAGGGGGTAGAAATATATATATATATATGATTTACTGTGAATAAATTTACTATGATTACTTAATTTCATCTTAAGTGTTTAATACATGAGAGAGAACATTTATTACTTTTTGGAAATTTTTGTTAAGATGGGGGATCTTTTTTAATAAATTTTACTTGTTTATTTTAAAAAAAAAAGCATCTCTCAGCTAAAAAAAATAAATCAAAAAACATATATATCAGTAACTAATAAGAATAAAAATTTTCAGTGTAATCAGGATTTAAAATTGTTGACCTTTACAAAATTTTGTAAATCTGGATTTGTCAAAAGCTTTTGGGTTATTTTTCACCATAGTATAAAAAGTCATATAAGCATATTAAATCCTTTTGAAATTATGATGAAACCAGTGTTAGAAAATTCGCATTCGACTGCAAAGCAGACTAGAATAAAATTGTTTTATCTACCCACTATTTATTAGATCTGGACTAAAATTCTTCCCCTCCCTCTGTTATTCCTACTGCCCCTGCTCTCAATTATACTAAGCAAATAAAAGTCGTTTTAAAAATTTGAAAAGTTTGCATACAAAAACCTGTTTGGACCAAGTCTGAAATATTTTCCACCATAACACTCATTAGAGGTAGAGGTATTACCAGGAATCTGGTGGATTTAAAATTAGATCTTCTTGCTTAAGAAAGGAACACACTATGCCTAAACCACTACCGCATAAGTGTTGTATGTGTACTGAAGCACTCACAGATTATTTCAGTATGACACCACTGATATTTGGTGTGCAGCTATGCCTGCATCTATTGATATGCATATGCATGTGTGTATAAAATTTAAGCATAGCACTTGTTTTTAGATAATGTTAAAAATATGTATTAGAAAATAACATGTTCTCAACCAAAGACTATGTGCAAGAAAAAGGACAGAAAAGTGGAAGAGGAAGATTTGAGTATTTACAAGCTCTTGTAACAGAGTTTCAAGATACTGATAAGCAAGGTGATTTTAATTTAAACATAGGTAGGATTTTAAGCATACAGTTAGCCATGCTCTATTTTTAGTACGAGCACCATGCTTTCTCTTTTAGTAAACAGATTTTGTTTAATAACAAAGATTTATTTGCACTCATTATCAATGATAGCAAACATAACCTAGTTATGCATTTTTAGGTTCAAAGGTGGAAGTGCTAGCTAATCTTGCTAATTTCGCTTACGATCCTCTTAACTATGATTATCTGCGCAAGTTAAATGTTGTTGATCTATTTTTAGGTATTTTATTTAAATATTTGAGAAATTATATTGTTAAGTAAAAAAGCAATTTATATATATATGTCATGGCCAGACCAGGGCCGAGTATGTGACCTGGCTGCATAAATGTATATATGGATGTCTATATAAACATCTTGATCGTTATTACAATAATCATCATCATCATCATCATCATCATCATCATCATCATCATCATCATCATCATCATCATCATCATTATCATCATTTAGCCGTCCCCTTTTTATGCTTTTTCTCTAATATTAAATCTCGAGCATCTATTTACTTAAGGTAAAGTTTGTTTATACCATATGTAACAATCTCTCCAAGTTTTCTTACCTCTACCTCTACCTTTTTCTCCTGAAGCTGCAACCTCTCTTTATTCATATCTAAACTACCTTAATCTTCTCTGATGAACCTCGTCCAACACTCACTATTCTCAATCTGTCTAAGATCATGATTTCTTTTCTTGCTTTATTAGAGTTACAACACACATCCATCTGATCATCATCTTCTGTCTTAGCAAATACAACATCATATAAGTATGGAAGAGTTGCCAAATTAGAACAGTGTCTCAACTGGAACATTTATTTTGGAAATAAAATGTTTTATAGCTATACTTTGCAAAATATAAAATGTCTTATTTTCTATGTTTTGATAAATTTTGAGAAATGCATTTGTGTCATTAATTTAAAGCTTTTTTGTGTCATTTTAAGGTGATCTAGTTTAGTTCCAATTACATTGATTGCACAAGGTTAACTTAATTTCTGTGGGTTATATATATTTTGATATTAATGTGACAGGATTTAAAATGCAAATAATAACATAAACTTTTCATATATATTGCGGCAAGTATGATTGCTTGCCACAATATATAAGTTGATATAACAATTGCAGTGATATAACAAAATAGTCTTAAGTTTGCTTGATTAAAGCTACGAATTTTTTTTTTACTTAATCAACAATAAAATCATAAGATTGTTGAAGTAGTTTAAGGCACAATTTAAAAGAAATAGTTACAATCATAAACCTTAAAAACAATACTTTATTTAGTTATTTTTAATTAAAAAAAAACAAAAAAAAACAATAATAGTTGAAACTTTTGTACAATTTGTTTTTTGTAGAACTTTATTTTAACAAGACAATTTTGTTTTTATTGGAACAAAATGGTGGTTTGACAAAATTAAATTTTCAATAGCAGTGCATTCAGTTAACAGCTGTTTTATCATAATTTCAATAGGATTTAATATCCTAATATAAGTTTTATACTAAGGTGAGAAATGAACAAAAAGCTAATTTTTGACATTTTTTGTCGAAAAATAGTTTTTCATTTTTTTTTTTTGCGCCATGGTATAAAACAAATTTTTATTCAAAGCAAATTCCATTTAATGCCATCAACACAAAATGAAAAGTGTTTACACAACTTCTTTTGGCTTAACTTACATGTCTTAACAATGGCCCTGAATCTAAATAAATTACAGTTACATTGTTTCTTACTTAATTTTCAATGTTTTATGATTATAAATATTCATCAGGATATATCCTATATTTTTTAATTAGATAAAAATTCATATGCAGAATAACAAGAGTAAATAGCATATTTTTATTTAACCATTTTAAAAGACATATTTTTGGAAGATCTTTGAACTAGTGATAATCAAAGATATATAACATGTGACATGTTTTTTTGCGAAAAAAATAATGTCACATGTTATTTTTTTAGACCTATATGTTTAAATTTGGTTTGAGAATATATAATACCATTTTAAATACCATTTTGAAAACATATAATACCATTTAATATTGGGATACATAATATGTATTCTAATTTTAAATGGAATTATATGCCTGTTGGAGTTCACAAGATAATTGTTAATTTACCCAATTTTGTATTTTTACTCCATTTTGAACATAGTCTTTGTGTATAAATTCAGATAAATTTGAGGTATATTGCAAAGATATGTTTAAGACAGTATGTCTTAATCTTTGCGATATACCTCTGAATTTACACACAATGATTAATGTAGAATATTTTAATAAGACAGTAAAGGTTTTGTGGCTTCTAAATACCCTTGTTGTGTTTCCACGATTGAGTGTCAGAGCCTCCATTTCTTGAAACATTTAAACAATTCCAATATGTTATTTATTGTTTTTTTAGTTTTTTTTTTTTACTTTCAACTGATTGTTTCCTCTTTATATGACAAAATCCAAAATCATTATGTCCTAGTCTTTGTTTCTGTCCAATATGTAACAGACCTTTCAAACTATTATTCCAGAGATGAAAAGTGTAAGTTTCTAGGCCTAAAGACATCTGATTAGGTTGTCTACTTATTTAGTTACGTCATTTATTTAGTTATGATCCAGAAACATTGCGAATTTGATACAAATTACTTACTTGAAAAAGAAGAATGAAAGTTTTTCCATTAATTACAGTACAGTATGACTTAAAACAAGATGTCATAAAATTTTGATGTCATAAAATTTTCTTTATCTTTTCATTTTTAAAAGACATTAACTTTTTCAAGTTACAGCAATAATATTAAGATTACCGCAAACAAGTTAAATATTGTTTAACTTGCTTTTTATTAATACTATTAAGAAATGTTTATTTCTTTCATTTTTTTTTATATTAAATAATAAATTTGATTTGCATTAAAAAAAAAAAAAAATTTATGTAAAAAATTGTTTTTCTTGACATATGTATAAATGAATAAAAATTTGTTAATTTTTTTAAAAATCATTATTTCTTAAATAATCTAAAAAACTAAAAAAGATTTTTTATTTAAAAAAAATTAGCAAGTAACAAATAAAAAAATTACGTTAGTTTATCCATCTTTATTTATTAAAAGTTTATTATTTTTTTAGCGATTTTGTTTTGAAACACCATTTGTTAAAATTACTTGCGTTATAAAAATAGTTAAACTTACGTTTAGCCTCAGAACACATTTATTTAATAATTAATTTTGAGTAAAAAAAAAATGTTAAGGAAAGAAAACTGAAATAACAAATGCGAGCTAATCTTTTTTTTAAGAATAAATAAAATTTAAATATTTAACAATATTTAGTATCATCTTTAAATAAATTTAACAGTTAAGTCAAACCCAAGCATTAACTTTAATTTTATATATTTAAATCAAAATTAAATTACATTTTTTTTATAAGAATAAAATTAGATATATTTGTTAAATTAGTTTTGAATTAAATCATTTATTTTTTTATCAGAATTAAATTATGTTATAATGATCTTTGCTTCAAGCTTAAAGTATAAGCGTTTTTCAAGCAAAAAAATTGATCATTGCAATAAAAAAAAAATTAAGTATAAATTATTTATTACTATAAGAAACTTAAGAAAACTTAAAAAAAAAATCATAAGTTGCTTCGCGGAAATTGCTCTGCGCGTACGTAATTCGTACGTAAATTGCCGGCAGCTTAACGCTTTAAAACAAGGTCTGAAGTGTCTGGTTGTTGTGCTGAGCTCAATTGACATAAAAACATTCTCTTCTTCTCCAATCACAAAAAGGTTCTTTGCAATAAATATAGAAGAGTTTTCTGAAGCAATTGTGTTGCCTTCCTCCAAACTGGATAAACATAAACCATCAGGTTTTCATAAATTCACTCTGTATAGATTTCTTCACAATCCATGCAGAATTACAGCCAATGTTATCCCTGCCCTTGTTGACCTTTTAAAAAGTTGGTCAACAAGGACAGGGATAACACTAGAGGTTTGTGTGTGGTGAATCCAATTTAGCTGTACAGTATACTTTTATTAATGTTATTTTTTAAATGATGTATAAGTATAAAATACAACATTAAAAACTTCATCTAGTAAACATCAGAGTTCAAAATAGGGCAAAAAAATACAATCATGAAAATTAAAAAAAAAATTCATTTGAAATCCACTTCCCTCCCATCCCTTCTATGCAGTAATATGGGTTCCATTAGTACAAAGTTGTACTTTTTGTACTTAAGTTTGTAATTGCTATTTTTTAACATATCTCTCATATTTACATACTATCTCATATAATTCTTGTTTGATTGGGTTTTAAACTAGATTAAGTTATAATTTACAGCTTAATATATAATTAAAGCTTCAGTTACTGTTATAATGTAATATACAAGAAATAAATTTATTATATTTAGTAATTATTTTTACTAAACATGATACTTAAAAAAGTAAAGGTGCAAGATAAATGTCTTATTAAAATAAAAATAAAATTCTATTAACAAATTATTTCAAATTTTTCTAAAATTATTTAAAACTTTAAGTTTCAAATTGAAGATTTATTTAAACAAAAGAATTTTAAAACAGTAAAATTTTCATGTTATAAAAGAGAATTTTAGACTTCAAAATATGCTTAATTCAATCCCAGAAGAAGTTGGAAAGACTTAGTTTCAAAAATGCAAATAACCTTATCAATAAAAAAAAACATGTTTTCTCCACTAAATTTTAATTTAGATATGTTAAGTGAGCAAAATGAAAAGTTTGTTGAATTTGGTATGGCTGGATTGTGTAATCTTTGTTTAGGTAATTGCTTTAATTTGTTGTATGTTTTAAACAAAAATTTTATCAATTTTCTAATACTTTTCTGTATCCGATAGCATTTATTTTTCTCCCTTTTCACGAAAGCATAAGCAACTTTGTGTTTCAGCGTACATAACCCTATATCGTTTCTGATTAACAGTTAGTCTTGTGTAGTGTTAGATGCAGGGATTTAAACCAAACTTTCCTGGGATTTAAACCAAAGTTTCCAAACTTTGTTTAAATTATATTATTGTGTAAACTTTTAGAGTAGATGTATTTCTATTTATTAATAGATGTTATCAATAGAGATCATATCTTGAAAAATGGTGGCATTGAAATTATTACTGGATGTCTTTCAAGGTTTGTGTTTTTATATATTTATTTCAATGTAACAAAAATGATTAATTATCAAGTTGTTTAATTAGTTAACACATTAAATTGCTTAAAATTTACTGTTAGAAATAAATATTATTAGCTAAAGTTTATCAATGTGAAGAATGAAATAGTCCTGAAAAACAGAATGAAGCATTTTTCTGTTTTTTTGCTTAAAGTTTAAAGTTTTGTGTTTAAAGATTATAAAACTTTGAATATATTTTAAAGTTCTGCAGCCATATTCATGTCTCCCTGTAAAATTAACGAAATGTTTGAGTGATCATTAAGAAAAAATTTGTTTACAGTCAGATTCAAATTAGAAGGAGGCAAGTTGCATACTATTCCTGCCATTAAGTCACTGGTTTTTTGATGATTTAAAAACTGGAGTAATCCCTGCATCTTTTAGTATCTTTTTTAATTGAATAATTAATTTTTGTACCCATGGTAGAAAAATATAAATAATTTCTGGTTTTTTGATGTTATTGTTGTTTTGTTGATTATTTTGTTTAGGTAGAAATTTATTTTCGCAATGTTAAAAACAGTACAAAAAATAGTTAACAAGCAATATTATTTATTTAATTAAAAAATTTCAACAGTTAGTAACTAAAAAAAACAAGTCTCAACTTTCCAACATCTCTTCAACATCCTGGAGTGGGGTTGGACAAACTAGAGTTTGTTCAATAATTTTATGTAGGTAAAATAAAGCTCTAGGTTTCAACATGCATTGGCCAACATCAAAGACATTTTAGAAAAAGTGGAAAAATTTGGCTGCAGTGGCGTATTTAAAAAATTGCTGTGGTGTCTTTCTTGGTGTCTAAAATGAAAACAACACAAATAAAGTAGGAGATTATTTTAGGAGAAAAGTTAAAGATATAGATACATTTGAATATAGTTCTTCCAAATTCTTTTCTAAAATGAATTCCAAATTCTCTAAAATAGTATAATTATCTTCTAAAATATATCTTAAAATAGAAAATTCATTTTTAAATTCCACCTATTCGACATCATTTTCTAAGTATTTGCCTATTTATGTTTTTAAAATTAACATGTTACATACCAATTGCCTTTAATTAATTAAAAAAAAAATTGTGGTCAAATTAAACTGTAAATTTAACTATGTGGTGTTTGATTATACTACATGTTTTGAAATATGTACAATATATATATATATACAAATAGTATTGCGTACTTTGGTAAGCAATCTGACGTCATACTGAAATAGCCGGCTGCTGGGGGCTTCAGTACATACATCGACTGACAAATAGCCTGACTCGCAGTGGAGTGCTGCTACATCGACTGAGGGTTTGGGATGGGGAAGCAATTGTTTTATTCATCATTCTTCGTTTTTTTCTTCTTCTTTTTCGAAATAAACTATATACCTTAAAGTAAACACAAAAAGCGAGCAAATGCTTATCAAAACACACGTTAGTAAGTGTATATATATATATATATATCAAGTATATATATATATATATATATATATATATATACATATATATATATATATATATATATATATATATATATATATATATATATATCAAGTATATATATATGTGTATATATCAAGTATATATATATATTTAATATATATATATATATATATATATATATATATATATATATATATATATATATATATATATATATATATATATATATATATATATATATATATATATACTAAAAACAACTTTTTTTGTCTGCTGCCACCCCACATTGTCTGCTGCCACCCCACAAATGTGTTCTATGTAATAAATTAACACTAAATTAAAAAATTTTTTAAATAAAATAAATTTTTAGGGGTTGCTCAAGACCCTTAAACATCAAACGAGTCCCTAATATTTTGAAAAAAAAAAATCTTTAAAAGTATATTATGTTGGGTCTCAAAAGAAGTTAAATTTTATAAAAATTACAAAAATAATAATCATTTTATATAAATATTACTAGTTTAATTTTTATGGCCTAAAAACTATAATTTTTTGACAAAAAATTAAAAGTACAAATTTTCAAAGTTTTTTTTTTAATAAACTTTTTTAATTTGTGTTTCCATAAATTGTTTTTATTATTTTTGAAATTTTCATAAAATTTCACTTCTTTTGAGACATGATATACTTTTGAAGAACTTTTTTTTTCAAAATATTAAGGACCCGTTTAATGTTTAATGATGTTGAGCGACCCTTAAAATATTTTTTTATTTGAAAATTTTTTTAACTTAGTGTAAATTTATTACATAGAACACATTTAGGGTTGGCAGCAGACAATTTCAAAAAAAGTTGTTTTTAGTGGTATAAATGAAAAGTATTTTCTGCAAAACATTGTTATTATATTTATATACATCTACAGACCATAGTGGGAAGCAAGAGCTTTAGTTCTCACTCTTGCCCACACTCCCCTAAAGTGGTTTAAGGGAGCAATTTACTACTCTCGCCAAAGTATAGTTTTGTCATGAGTGTATACATTTTTCTTCTTTACTTTTAGATATTGATTTGAAAAATTAAAAATTCTAAGGCAAACTACAATGTATAAAAAAGGGCAAAGTTCAAGTTTTAAATTGACTTTTTTTTGCTTTACGTTGCATAACAGTCACTGAATTTTTTTGTAGTGCTTCAGATTATGTTTTATCTATAAAAATGGTTAACAACTTATTGACTATATAATATAAGTTATTCTATTCTTCAATAAACTTTTTGTTTTAGTAAAGTAGAAATTTGTTATTATAAATGAGAATGTAATATTACATAATTATGATATAGTTTTATAATAGAATTAGTAAAACAAAAGAACTTTAAATTTTCATTTCAAACTCAAATATGCAATGCAGAAAGATTTTTTTTCTCAAAATCTTTAGTGTGAAATACCATGTAATATCGCTATAACATTAATGGCAATATGATCAAATTTGCAAAGTTGTTTATATAAGAAATTGATTATCATTGTATTCAAAATGATAAACACAAAATAGTTATTTTCAAAATTAACAAATAATTGCATAATGAACTGCTATGTTTTATATAAAAATATATATATATATATTAAAAAAAAAAAAAATTTGTGAATTGAAATGCAAATATATTTAATTAGTTTGGACTACCTGATAGGTTTCTTAAACGAAAAATCAATTTCTCATAAAAATGCCATTATTCTTATAAAAATAAGTTAATAATACTCTGTGATTAATCTTTTTCTTTGTCAATGCTGTCTTTATATTAAAGTTATTATGTAAAATTAAATTTATAATATAAAACTTTTTTAATAATATATTTGAAAAAGTAAAACGTAAGTTTTTTTGAATGTCATAACTCAAATTTTTTATTTTGTCTAAACTCAATTTATCCTTGCTTAATGTCATTAAATAATGTAAATTTATTATGCACTAAGTTTTTGCGTATTAATTTTTATATTATGTAATGAATTATATATAATATGTATTTATACTTTGAAACCTGTGTCGTTTGCCCTAATAATATATGCACTAATATTGTAAAATCTTTAATTGTTGTAAAAATTCTCAAAATTCTTACAGTAACAAAATATAAAATTTTCAAAAACAAAATAGTCTTACTTATCTTATTCTTTTTGCTTTTTTTTTTTCAATTTAGTTCAAACGAAGAGACTGTATTAAATGCAATAACAACCCTAATGTATCTTGTAACTCCTGATAGTAAAGATGGTATGTTATTTTTACTATAAATAAGATTTCTGTATAAATTACTCATTAAAGTATTTCTACAGTATATTATTAAAAAAGGTATGCAATAAATAGTTATATAAGGTATGCAATAAGTTGCATGAGAGTATTTGTTTTTAATAAAGCTGTAAACTGCTGTATATTTTACTTTCAGAAATAGTTTGTGATGAGATTAAAGACTGCATGATGCAGCTTAAAGAGTCTAAGAATCCTAGATTAAAGAATCTTGCTTTAATTTTTCTTGAGGTAAAATAATGATTTCTAATTTTATCTTCTTGAGTATAGAAAGTTTTTTCAGTTAAGGAAGAAAAAAATAAATTGCAATAATTTTTTTTTTCAGTAAAAGTCCTTCATATTTAGATAGTATCTGTCTAAACACAAACCCTCAGTTGATTATTCATGCTTCATGCTAGGTTAAGTACACAAAGATATTTTTATATATCAAATAATTAAAATGCAATTACTGCAAAGAACTTAATAAAAATCACTCGCACATAAATTAGTTGTATAACTTGTTACTTTTAAAATTGCATTACTTTCAAAATCAAATTTAGGCTAAAAATTAAGGTATTTGTGTTTAAACAAAACTTTTAAAAGCATAAATGATCTAATGATGAATTCAACAACTTTGCAATGTGAAAATTTGTATTTTGAATAAAAGAACTAAACTTTAATTAGTCTGATGGCAATATCATTTGTTAAGGAAGTTGTGACTTTAAATATTCAAAAAGCATATTTTTATTTTAGTTAAAAACCAAATTTATGTATTTTTATTTGTGCTATAGCGCATATAAATTTGTCATCTTTTTTAATCAACCTAAATCTATACGGTTTTTTTTTCCATGAAGAAAAAAAAAAAAAAGAATAATGAAAAAAACTTATCCTAGCCCCAACCCAAACCCTCAGTCAATGTAGCATCAACTCCCTTCCGTGTTCTCATTGATGACAGTCTCCTTTTACACAGCGTTCCAAAAAGAATGTGATCTTTTATTGATTGAAGTATAAAAGTTTTTGGCAGGGGTTCATTATTTTTGACACCCTTAAAATATAGATCTACAATTTTGCAATGATAATGAGCTTTGTATTACACCTTAATCTGTGTTAAAGGGCAGATGTGGCATTAGAGGAAAGAAATATGAGATTGATATTTCTTTTTGATGTTGCCTTGCCCATCAATCTGTGAATGGTCAGGAATATTGTTCACCAGGAGTGCTTCTTTTCTGTTCTGAGCATGAAAAGAAGAGTCCAGCTTTTTTACTCATTCTGTAGAAAGGTCTTTGTGTAAGGGAGTTATTTGATATGCCTAAAACATCATAGAATATAAGACCTGCCTATATCAATAAGTAATTTTTCTCTTGTTGCACATTCTGCTGCCATGCCTGATTATCTAACTTGACAATATTTTTACCTGGAGCATTGATAAAATGTATGTTTTGTTAAGTAGAGACCGGTAAAATAGCCTAAACTAATCTGCATTGATATTTTCAAGTTTATAATTTGAAAGAGTTTAAAGGTGATAAAAGTGTAATTTTATTCCATGAAGCGATCATATCATTTGTGAGAAGAAACTTTCGCCTAAGATGATTTTAAAGCTGATCTTATTTCTAAAGATAGTAACAGAATGATTGAATTTTAACTTGAAACATTTGAAATTTATTGCTGGTGTATGTCTATCTGTTTATATTTAAATTCAACAAGAATTGAAACACAGAATTGACTTTTCTTCCTATTCAGAAACCAACAATCAGAACTTTAAACATTTTGTGCCATTTTTTTCCAGGTCAATAATTTGTTTTTATTCTTAGCCCGGGTTGATATTGTGTTCTTTGCGACACCATGCTTTTGGGTAATCTATTTATTAGAATCCTGTTATCTAGGTCTTTTAATGTCTTGCATTTTTTTATTACATTTTAAAATCATGCTTTAAAAAAGTTTAAGGAATACATTTTGAAAATTCAAATTTAAAAAAATTAAATGTTATCACAACTTTAAAAAAAAATGTTGAAAAGTTTAAAAATCTATTCAAGCTGCATCCTTATTTGTGAAATACATTTGCAGGTAAACATGTTTAACCTTGCTGTTTGTGAAAGCAACTCAAATACATCTAATATATTTTAACATTCTGCAATAAACATATCAGTAAAAAATATTTTTTTCAAGTTTTCAAATAATTTTAAATTACTATTTTCTCTGTTTCTCTATTTGCAAATTTTCTATTAAGATTAGCCAACCAAATTGATATGTCAAGCAGATGAATGTGACAACAGTTATGTCTTTTATATGTGACACAGTAATGTCTTTTATATGTATAAATGTATAAATGTATAAATATATGTATAAATGTGACAACAGTAATGTCTTTTATATGTATCTATGACGACAGAAATGTCTTATATGTACATCATGCATTGTACCCAATTTAGCTGTGAAAAACCTCTCTAATCACTGGAGTAAAATGAACATATCTGCATGGAAATCATCATTTTTTTAATGTCATATTCTTATTCAACATATCAAAATATAGTTATAATTGGCTGATTTCATCACCAATACATTTGGGCTGTTGATAAGTGTAGTTTTTGAAAACATTTATACTGTAGAAGTGTAATTGTTTATGAATTTTTTATTTGTTGTAAATAATGTCCTTCATGCATAGATGTTCGTGTGTCATTCAGTTATGTTTTACAGCTGCCTAATGTCAGTATACAAACCTGTAAGACACTCGATGCACACTACTTAATGGTCAATGCATCTATTTTTTAAGATCAAAAACAACTGTAAAAAAAATTAACATCTGCTAATGATATTTTTTATTAATTATTTTACTCTTACTTTTGATGCTATTTTCAACAACTCTTTTATTAGGTTTTTTCTTGTTTTTTTTTTTTCTTTTACAATTTTATAATATATTTTTTAAGCTTACTTAAGTAATATTTTTCAACAACTCTTATATTAGATTTTTCTCTCTTTTTGTCTAGGATTTGTGCAGTTCACCTCAACAAAACTGATAATTCAGATAGCATAACGTTAAAGTATATACTGGTAGATGTTTTCTTAAACAAAAAGTTGTTAATAGCATCTCACTTAATCAACATATATGTATAATATTTGGCATGTTAAAGTTTCGAAATCTTTTTGGACCTTATAAAAATTTTTGAAATCAAGATTTTGGTACTGTCACATAAGTTTGCTGGTGAACTCTTCTGTGATAATGTTATGAATAAGTCAATATTTTGTTGGCATTAGGAAGTGACCGGGGCCCCAGCCCTGTCCTCGGCTAAAAATGAGACTTTTTGCAAACCCACCCCCAGCAAAATTAAAAGATTTAGTAGGGGTTAATAGCTAGGGTTAGAAAAAAGTTTATAATACTTTATATATTATATTTTTATACTTACACTTACTATTTATTAAATACCTGCATATTTTAACTCCTATTAAGTTAGTTTCAAATAGAGAATAAGTTAAAATACTAGGAAACAGTTAACTGAAGACTGTTGATTTGTACTGAAAAATTGTAGATTTTATAAAAAAAGAAAACATGATGATAGCTTAGAGTTATAAAGTTTTTTTTGATGTTCAAGAAAAAAAAATGATTAATAAAAGCTTATATAGCATAAAGGACAAGGCTTATATAGCATAAAGGGACAGATACTGTAAAAGGATGCAGTTTGTTGAATAAGAAGCCAAGCAAGAAGTTTTGGTTTATTGTAATAGACATGATGTCTTCTAGAGTTTTGAAAAATTGGAACCACTTACTTTGCACTTTTTTAAAGGTTTAGCCAAAATTGAAGAGAATTCTGGAGAACACTTTTTTAAGGCTATGTTGGAAATCTTATCTGGAGCACAAACTGTAGAATTGTCTAAATTGAGAATTAACTTTAGCATTGGAAGCCAGAGTGATTTGGGTGTTTAACAATTTGTTAATCTGTTTAACTGGTGTCTATCAGAGTATGTCGATTAGATTCAAGAGTCAAATTAGAGTAAGATTTCTTTGCAAATAACTCTGCTCTATTCTGGATAGAAGTAAAAAGATCAGACCCATGAATTATAAAATGTTTCTTTAGTTAATGACACTGTAAAAGACTAACTAAAAGTCTCTAAAACCTGACATCTGAGATAAAATACACAATTTAGTAAACTGAGAGTAACAGAGCTTAACATCAGACAGGACCTTTTTACATTGGTTTCTTGGAATAATAAAAAGACATTTGTTCTAAAGAGAGATTAAAAAAAAAAAAATGAAAAAAAAAAAGATCAATGTTCAATAAAGCAACTGCTCAAGATGGTAAAAGTGTGGAGTAGCTTGACTTAAAATTAAAGAGAAGAAATAAAAGCCTCCAAACTTTTATTCTAGAAGGAATAAAAGCTTCCAAGATGCGCTTTATGCATACATATTACGAATATTAACATATATGTTTGCTATTTATTTAGATGCTGGCATACAGTATCCTTTCATATTTATATAAACTTTAGTATTTATATGGTGTAGTATTTGCCAAAAGGGAAGATGATCAGATGGATGTGTGGTGTGACTCTAGCAAGACAAGAAAAGGAGGTATAATCTTAAACAGATTAGAAAAAAAGGTTTTATCCAACAAAGTTTGTTAAAAAAGATTAAAGGGATTTAGGTATCAGCGTGTAGAGAGGTAGTAGCTTTAGAAGAAAATGATAGTGGTAGTAGTAAGAAAATTTAAAGAGAGTGTCTTACATATTGTAAAGTATGCGACTGTTAAATTTGGAACTATGAATTTTATTTTAAAACTTGTCACTAACACATTTTAAACTTATTTTTTTTTGCATAATAACATTATGTAATGATAGTATTAATTAAAAACATCAACAAAACTGTCAAAATATTTTTTATATATAAAATGTCATCAGAACTGTTAAAAAACAAAAAAAAAATTATGCACAACTATCTACAAAATCCTTCTGCATCGTTACTTTCAATCGCTAAAGCATCTAGCAAGACCACTGTTTATATGGTCATAAAACGATACAAGAGCTCTCTATCTATCAAACGAGCAAAAAGGTTGGGAAGAAAAGGCGGTTTTAAAGATAAGAAACCAGCAATAAGTATTTGACGATCATTTACGCAAAATCCTGGCTTATCAAACGGGGAACGAGCCAAAAAGTATAAAGTTTTTGGTAATAGTTTCAGAGTTTTTTGTCAGAAAAGTTAAGAAATTTAAAATTTCAAGTCTTATAGAGCCATTAAATATCCAAACCGATCAGATAAGCAACCACTGACTGCTAAAACTCAAGCACAAAAACTTTATGACAAAGTACTTACAAAATTTAATAGCTGCATAATTATGGATGAATAACTGTATGTGAAATGTGACTTCAATTGTTTGTGGGCGTGGCAGCAACAAGTTCAAGTATAAATCATTGGATAAATTTGGTAAGAAACTTCTCTTGTGGCAAGCAATATGCATCTGCGGTTTGAGATTTTTTTTTTTTTTTTTGTTATTCACCTCCTCAAGGCCGAGAAGGCCACTACAGACGAGGAGGCTACTTAATAGTGGTTATAACCCTCTCTCAACTCTATAACTCTGAAACACGAACAAGGTCGCTGCGCAGAGAAACAAGTTGAGCGCGGTACTACCAGGGACGTGGTGGAGATCGAACTCGGAACCTCTCGCTTATGAAGCGAGTGTTTTACCACTACACCACTACCACATTATCTTAAGCTTTTGTCACATTGTCAGATCTTAAGCTTTTGTCACATTGTCAACTTCAAACTTGGATGTTTACATCAAGGAATGCTTGCAAGCTAGACTTTTACCATTTTATCGAAGTCACAATGTCCTCTGTTGGTTCTGGCCTGATCTTGCTTCTATTCATTATTCTAAGAAGTCGGTAGAGTGGTACAAATTGAGAGATATCAAGTTCATACCAAAAAGCTTGAATCCACCAAACTGCCCATAGTTCTGTCCCGTTGAAAATTTTTTGGGAATTGGTAAAGAATATTTGCGTAAGAGTGGCTAAACAATAAGTACCGCTAAAAATTTGATTAGAGAGTGGACATTAGTTGGAAAAAAATTGCCAAAGACACTGTGCAGGAGTTAATGTAGTCGATTAGCGTAAATGTTCACTTATTTATTCTATGCAATGAAAAATATTAAAAATAAAAAACATTTTTATAATCTTCAAGTTCCTTAGATTAAATTAAATGTTGAAGTTTTTGCATTATTTTAATTTATTTTTTATTTATTTTGAATTTTTCATTGTTCCGAATTTAACGATCACATGCTTTATAAATGAGCTTTAGTTAAGAAAAGAAAATGCTAGAGCATTGTTTATATTAGAGAAACATCATATAAGAAGAAGGCTAAACCCTGATGATGATGATGATGATGATGATGATGATGATGATGATGATGATGATAATAATGATGATAATGATGATGATGATCATGATCATAATGATCTCGGTGATCATGATGATGGTAATGATGATCATGTTGATCATAATGATGTTTATATATATATATATATATATATTTTTTAACATCTTCGCCTCCAAGAAGGCTGCAAGCAACCACTAATTAGTGTTGGAAGTTACTGGAAGAGAAAAGATGAAGATTGTAGAGCAAGATAACGGTTGACAGACGACTTAAAAGATTGTAAATTATATGAATCAGGAAAGCTAGATGAAGGAAGCCAATTCCAAAGAACTGATGTTTGAGGAAAAAAACTAGACGAATAGGAGTTTTTGGAGCACTTAGGAACAGTAACAGAAAAAGGATGAGATTTGATTGAATGACGATCAGTCATGTTATATTTTGTATATATATGCATATATATACAAAATATAACATGACTTTTGAATAAAAAAATATACTTTAGAATGTGTAAATGTCTAAATAGCCCTGGTCACAAACCTGGCTATATTTTATCAAACCTGGCTCTGGCTCCGGTCAAATATTAACGCTTACTAGTTGGTATCAACATTTTTTTCTTTAGTAATTTTTATAAAACAAATTTAATTATGAAATTGGTTTTATTTAATTTTATTTAATGGTAATGCTGTGACATTTATATTATTATTATAGTTATTACTGTTATTATTATTAATAAAATCTTATAACAAATATAAGAAGAATGAAAGAGCTATGTTTTTATTTGTGAAATTTCATTTTTAAATGATTTGTTTTTAAATATTTTCTTATTATTTATTATGTAACATCTAATAAAACAGTCAATGATTTAATTAAGTATCAATCAAAACATAAATAACATTATTTAGTTAAAGAGCAAATATTTAATCAAGTTATTTTTCTAGTTTAACAAATTAGGTATAATAACAATTAAAAAAAAAAATTACAAATTAAAAAGTAAAAATAAATAATGAGATTATGAAGCATCATATATGGTAAGTTTTAGAGTTAATTGCTTTTCTTAGTATTGTTATTATTTTTAAGTTTCCCCCGCAATCAATGTTATTAATTTATATCATCTAGTAATGTAATAGATATCTATACAAAAAATGTTTTTTTATAGTATGGTTTCTGATTTTTTTTATCCAAATCAAGGAGGAGTTGAAAGTCACATATACCAACTATCACAGCATTTGATTGAAAGAGGGCATAAGGTTTGTTTTTTTTTAATTGAAAGAGGCATTTCTTTTAATACTTGCATAACGTTTGAATTGTGATTTAATTAGTTTATAGTTTGTCATTTTATGATTGTTAATATAACTGTTCAAATAAAATTTGAATTTGTCAACAGAAACATAGCAGTTGTATTATTAAATATATAAAATTATATTTATTTTTCAAATCTTTGTTTTTTAATTCAAGGTCGTTATTATTACACATTCTTATGGAAAGAAAAAGGGAATCCATTATTTTCAAAATTTAAAGGTACTTTAATTTTTGAAACCTTTTTTTTATACGAAAGCAGTAAAAGATAAAAGAATTAATAAAAATAATGATGAAATAAAGTAATATAAATAAACTAGTAAATAAAAATAAATGAAATAAAATAAAGAACAAGTTAAAGGCACCAAAAAAAAATTTTAAAATAAACAAAAATAGAAAAGAAATTTTAAATCAACCAAACTTGCATAGCAATAGTTTGCAATAATTTGCATAACAATAATTTGCATAAAATATAGAACTAGATGTCAAAATTTGACGTTAAAAAAACTGAAACAAGAAGAAGAAAGTTATATTTACAACAAAACTAATTTACTAATATGCAAATTTATTCATCTACTTATAACAATCTGTCAATAATTTTAATGGATTCTTATAAAGATTGATTATCATAAGTTTGTTAAATTTAAATACTTGTATTTGACTGTCATTGTCTGTGCTAGTAAGGCACACTTGGATTACTTTCACAGACTATGACATATTATTTTTATTAGATATTTCATTAATTATTTTTTTTAGTGATCATTTCTATATAAAACTTTTTAATTATTACTTTTTATATATGCTTTTTATCAGATTTATTATTTACCATTTGGAATCTTTTACAATAACTGTATACTTCCGACAATCTATTCGACCTTTCCAACATTGCGTAAAATATTTATTAGAGAAGCAATTACAATTGTCCATGGTCACTCTGTGAGTTTTTTATTTTCTTAAAAATATTCGATATTTTGTATTTAATCTGAATTATTTAGATTTATTTTCTTTTCATATTTAAGGCGTTTTCCACCCTTTGCCATGATGCTCTTTTTCATGGTAAGACCATGAACCTGAAAACCGTTTTTACAGATCACTCATTATTTGGTTTTGCAGATGCTTCTTCAATTATCACCAACAAATTTCTAGAATTTTCACTCAGTGATGTTGACCATGTTATTTGTGTCTCCAACACAAGGTTTAAAATGGTACTAGTTTATATGGAGTTTCAAAGCACTGTTTAAATCTTATATTGTCTAGAAATGTGTTATAATTTTTTAGTAAAGAAAATACAGTACTTCGAGCTTCTTTATATCCTGATATTGTATCTGTTATTCCAAATGCTGTAGAGTCAGCTCTTTTCACACCTGATCCTTCACAGAGACATAAAGGCAAAGGTCTGGTTTTGTACATTAATTACAAAAATCTAGATTTATTAACTTTTTTTGTAGAACAGAGGGGGTTAAAACTTGTATTAAAATTCTTGCTGATAAAACATATTGTTCTATTTTATATCTTTTTTAATTACAGTAACTCTGGTTGTAGTGAGTCGCATTGTTTATCGTAAAGGTGTTGATCTTTTAGTTGGCATTATACCATTGATCTGTGAAAAGTTTCCTGATGTTCAATTTCTAATAGGTATAGCAAATATGATAACAGTTTATAGATAACTGCTTTAGAAAATACTGATGTTTTTTTATATAATGATGGTTGCTATAGAAAGTTGTGATTTTATTTTTTATATATAGATTGTTGGTATAGAAAACTCTGATGTTATTTTATATATAGTTTTTTGATATACTCTGATGTTGCTTTATATATAGTTTGTTGCTAAAGAAAAACACTAATATAATATAAGTCTTAAAAATATATTGCTATTTAGTTCTTTAAAAATGTACTAACAGTTAATTTTAATAATTTTATAGATTTTAAATTTTTCTACTATTTTAAAAAGTATATTTTATATTATTTATAAAGTAAAAAAAACAATTCTTTATTTGTGTAAATTTTGTTTGCTCTTTTTTTATTGTTTTTTTTTTTAAGGTGGGGATGGACCCAGAAAAATTTCAATTGAGGAATTAATTGAAAAGCATCGTCTTCACAAAAGGGTATTTTTAGTAGGCGAGCTACAGCACTATGAAGTTCGTAATATATTGGTGCAAGGAGATATTTTTTTAAACACATCATTAACAGAAGCATTTTGCATGTCGATAGTGGAAGCAGCATCATGTGGGTATGTTGAAGATATTTTTCATGTTTTCATTGAAAATGTTGTTATTTACTATTTTTTGAGTATAAATTGATAAAAATACAAAATTGAATGGCTTAAATATAAGTTATATATTTAACTTTGAAAAAATTAAGTGGCTTATTTAATTTTTTTTATTTTTTTAATTTTAGATTAAAAGTGGTTAGCACAAATGTAGGTGGCATTCCAGAAGTATTACCACCTGATATGATATACTTATGTGAGCCTAGCATAAAAGGTTGGTAACAATATTAAAATTATTATATTAAGTGTAATTTGTCTTCAACAAAATTAGGAAGTATGAAAATTGTCACTTATGTTAAGTTTTTTGTTTTTACTTTAAAAAGTATAGCCCTTAGTGCAAATATCATCATCATCATCATCATCATCATCATCATCATCATCATCATCATCATCATCATCATCATCATCATCATCATCATCATTATTATTGTTATTATCATGATCATCATGATCCTTATCAAATGATGATGATGATGATCATTATCATCATGATCATCATCATCATGATCATTATCATATATATATATATATATATATATATATATATATATATATATATATATATATATATATATATATATATATATATATATATATATGTATATATCTATATATATATATATATATATATATATATATATATATATATATATATATATATATATATATATATATATATATATATATATATATATATATATATATATATATGTATATATCTATATATATATATATATATATATATATATATATATATATATATATATATATATATATATATATATATATATATATATATATATATATATATATATATATATATAAATATATACAGGGTGGCCAATGGTGATGGAAATCATGGAACTATTTAAAAAGATCTTTTTTTTTCCTACTTGTGATAGTTTTAGGATGTAAAGAAAAGTACTAGTATGTCTAGTCTAAATCCTTTTTGAAAAATATGTTTTTGCAGTGTAAGTTATAGATTATCATTTTATTGCAAATATTATTAAACTTATACTTTGATACATACTAAAATTTAAACTAACTTTTGAAAAGGGTGACCTAATCTGACTAGGTCACCCTTTTCAAAAGTTAGTTTAAATTTTAGTATGTATCAAAGTATAAGTTTAATAAATAATTAAAACTTACTTAAATTTTGTTTGAGTTTGTATCAATCAATCAATTATGATTAGGTCAGGTCACACTGCTACCCGTAACATGTAATCCAGTACAACCTGTTTCATAGCATCTCTAGAGCCACGGTAAAGGCAACATACTTTGGAAAGCTGTTATTAACCCTCTTATTTAGTTCTGGATAAGGGTAGGAGGAGCTAATGTATTATGCATTGTAATCTTCCTAAATCACAATAAAAATGGTCAGTCCTGATCTTCAAAACAGATAAAGTAAAATAAATTGTAGTAAAAACACGTTAAAATACCCTAATAAAAACATGTCAATTGCAATAAGTGAATGTCAATAGTTAGTAAAAAAAGTTTAATGATTTGTGTGGTTATGAATTTATTCCTTCTTGGTTTAATAGAAGTTGTGTAAAAGTATATTAAATTAATCTTTTAGAGTAAACTCTGAATTAATAATATAAAAGTGTCTAAGAAAAATTGCAGTTTTTATAGTGAGTGGCTATAAGGTTCTAGATTTTTAAATTGGATATCTGCAGACAATTATATTGAGTGTAAGATGTAGACTTTGAATGTGTAGTTTCAGTTTAAGTAACATGGGAGTTATAGCAGTATTAAGTTTGGGTTTTGCTTCTGGTGTTGAATCAATACTATGGAACTTTAAAAAGGTCCTTAAAGCAATGTGGCAAATCTTTCATGATTCACCTGCTAGAAGGGACATTTATGTAAAAGAAAACTATTGTGAAGAGTTTTCATTGAGGTAATCGTATTATAAAAACATTTTTTATGTTAAGTCTTAAACTATTATGCCCTCAGCTTTCTACTTCCCATTGTTAAGCTCACCATCAGCTGATAGATAAAATTTTAACAGATCTATCATTTATTTATTTTTTACTTTTTTTACATCCAACCCGCTGGATTGAGGATGAAGCAGTTGCTGATAGAGCCAATAATATTTTGGGGAAATGTTGTTAAGTTCCTTTTATACTGGGAAAGTCTTAGCAAAAGCCAAATGTCTAAATGCAGCATGTCTATCCCCAAATAGTATGGTTGAAAACAAAGAAATTGAATTTGCTTGTTTCGATCAGCTAGTTGATATTTAGATACAAATAAAGAGGAAAATATTACTACTAAAAAAGCAGAAAAAAGAAAGCTTAAAAAATATATTTAATTGTGTATTCTTACCCTACACGAAGAAATGGAACAATTTAGCATTCAGGCAGAAGAATCCAGTTCCGTGGAATTATTAGTTAAAGGCAGTCCTTTCAGGCAAAGAGTAAAAGAAAAGCAAACCCTTATTGAACAGCTGGATAATGCTATTGGTAAATTAGAAACAGATTTAAAAAAGAATTAGTTTTACTAGGATTTGTTCTTATAATTTGTTTTGTTGAATATTTTAAGTTGAAAGTGTTTTTATAAGTCATTTCATATCTTGGAAGAAAGTTTCATTTCAGTAAAGTAGTTTGATTTTTTCAAATATTTATTTTTGTTCAACATTTAACTTCTTTACTTTAACCATTCATACAAAAGATTCATATCAATAATTATTGCACCAAAAAAAGTTATAATAGATAGTTATTTGTTATTCAGAAACCTAAAATGTTTAGAGTTATGTTAGCAATTAATAAGGTTTGTCATAAAAATACTTAAGCCGCAGAACAAATGTTTTGAGAAAATCTACTTCGATCAGCCATTTTAAATCCCTATTTTAAAGTGTTATATCTTTCATGAACATTTCTCAATTTTTTTTTTTTGTGACTTAAGTACATTTAGCACCACGCTCCTCAATTATACTCTATTTTATGGGATATAACTGTTATTTGTTCATAAGTTTATCTAATAAAGATTATTTTATTAATTTTTGTAAAACAATTGTTGGTAAAGTAGCATATTGTTGGTAAATTATATATACTTTCTTTCAAAATATTAAAAAGATATTTTTTCTTTTTAATCTGCACACAAATTAAAGTTTGTAATTAGAATTAGAGTAAAGCACTAAGTATTCCCCATCAGAGTTGTTAAGAAAGCCAAAAGTAGCAAGGCCAAGGTCAAGGCCACAAGTTACAAGGCCAAGGACAAGGCCAAGGCCTACGCAAACACTTTCGAGACTAAACACTTCAATTTTTACCTTACATTAAGGCCAATTATTAACAAAACTGTAAGTAGCAAGTGCTGTGACTATAAAACCACATATTGTAACAATAGACCAAGGTTATGCGCTGAATTCAACAAAATCTATAAGAAAATATGTATTTTTTTTAAGGCCAAGGCCAAAACAGTTAAGGCAATTGCCAAAATTTTCAAGGCCAAGACCAAGGCCTAGGCCAACAGTTTCGAGACTAAGGCCAAGGCCTCAAATTTTGGCCTTAAGGCCAGGCCAAGGACTAACAACTCTGCTCCCCATTTTTATTTGGTCTCTTAAAAGATTACGTTTTTTTTTTAAAGTTATAATTGTCAAACTTTGGTCAGTTATGATGCATCAGAGTTTTTTTCCGGTATGATCTTTAGAAGACCTTTCTAGCAATTAGTTTTTGATTTACATGTTTTATAGTGACCAAGTGGCAATGGCTTAGTGCATGTATAGCACTTAATATTTTACTCTAGCGATTTATCATAAAATTTGATAAAGAGTCATGGAAAAGTCATGGAAAAGGATTTTCATTTTCAGAGTGGCCACCCTGTATATATATATATATATATATATATATATATATATATATATATATATATATATATATATATATATATATATATATATATATATATATATATATATATATATATATATATATATATATATATATATATATAAATATATATATAAATATATATATATATATATATATATATGTACATACATACATACATACATACATACATACATACAAATACTTTATAGTTATAGTTAAATGTAATATTTATGTTATAATAACTGTTTTCCTGTAAAATTGCTTTAACCCCCCTTAACAAAGAAAAAAAAAGTTGGTCAAACAACTAAATAAATTATATATCGCTATTTTTAGTTTTGAATGTGCAAATGGACTGCTTGCAAAATAAAAAAACATAAAAAAATTCATTAGGGTTGGCGTGACATATACGAGGATGTATATATATATATATATATATATATATATATATATATATATATATATATATATATATATATATATATATATATATATTGTTGTACAAATTATTATAAATTAATTTTAGTAATTTATCTAAGGTGTGTATGAGGCTGTTGTAAAGGCAATCTCTGATCATCAGGCTGGTTTATTTGTTTGCTCTTACGAATATCATGAGAGAATTAAAAGCATGTATACATGGGATAATATTACCTCAAGAACTGAAAAGGTTCATTTACTATTTTTTGTAGTTGATTAAAATTTATTAAGGATGGTTATTGAATCAGCAAATTAGTTTATGGTCTCAATCATTAAAGGAGTTTGCCATGAGAATCTTACAAGTTTTTGGAGTGACTAAAACGGAAAGATTTTTATCGGCAAAAAAACTGTATTCAGTGATTAAAACCTCTACATTCATTGTGTAAAAAAACTGTTTAATGACAGAAGTAATTCTTTTCATTGATTAAAAACAATTTAAGTGACAACTTTAGAAAAAAATAATTGCTGTAAAAGTTCAAAATAAGTTCTTTGATAATATGATAATTTAGGTTGTTGTATTAGTATGAACTTTATTTAAGAGGTGAAGCTATGATGTGTTGGAACTAGATATATAAAATTTATAAGTAATTAAACCAAATAATTTTAGGTTAAAGTTTTTAGGTATTATGATTTTTTTGATCAGTTTCTTTTGAGTTTTATTTTAATAATTTTGAAACAGTCAAATTTTTTAACATTTTACATTGAACATTTTTTATTATTTTAACAATTTATCTCGCTGTCAGTGTTTTTAAGTATAGGGGAGGTTATTGGAATTCATCTCACATATTCAAAAACAAGAATCTTCAGAAATACTATTTAGAAAAGAAATTTACCCAGAATGCTACAATCTATTATATTTCTTGTTGTAAATATTTTTTCTTCACATTTAAGTTAATGTAAAATATTTTGTTAGTGCAGCATTTTTAACTTTCTAAAAGCAAAAATCCAAAGTTGAACATTTTTTAAATTTATGTTTATTTTAATTGTATAAATGATTTGGATTGGACTGACCCCAAATGTTTTAGAGCAGGATTGCTGAATGCTGAACCTAATACCGAGGCCTGCTATAGAGATTTATAATTAAGATTAAAAAAGAATTAAAATACATTTTTACGATCTGAATACATTAATGATATCTGATAAGTATATTATATTTTGTCTTTCTTTTTCATAACAATGTAAATTTGAAATCATTTAATTTTGGTTTTGTCAGAGTTGAATGCTTTTTTCTTTTTTAAAAATTGATTGTAATTGTCTGAAGTTATTCATTATTTGTAAAAAGTCATAGTCGATTTTATCTAGGTTTACGATTTGGCAAATAAAAACAAAAATCAAACCACAATCGAGAGAATGGAAAAGTAAAATTAATTTTGGTTTCTTAAAGCTTTATATTATTACATATTAATATATATTACAGTAAATATTATTTAATATTTCATATATTACTTATAATTTCAAAACTGTTGTATTTTTAAGATTTCGAAAAAGAGCGTGGATTGCTGGAAAGATTTATGTTTTACTTGTATTTGTTGACATTTTGTTGCTCTTTGTGTTAAAGTTTATTTGGCCAGAAAAGGTAAACTATCATTTTTTCATTTTTGAAATAATTTATGTATTAAGGTGGTCAAAAAACAAAAATTTTGAAAAAAGCAAGAAATTCATATACAGGTATACGTACCGCAAAAACAACCGTACCGCAAAAACCACAATGTTGGCTTAAGTGACCTAGCATGTAAAAAAAAATTCAAGATTCAAAAAATTTGATATATTATGATAGCTATTATGTCAGCATAAAAAATAAAGCAGTTTTAGTGGGTTTTTTTTATTTGTTAAATATGTTGGTATCTGCACTAGAGTAAAAATTTCAATTATAAAAACTTGTAGTTTTTTTTGTTTTGTGGAGCCTAGAAGCCGTATCAGAGAATAAGTTAGCAAAATATAGTTTTTCTATCACCTATGGATTATAACTAGATACTGAAAAAAGTTTTTTTTTCTCAAGTAGTTATAAAATTTTATAACACCCTCATAAAGAAAGGAAGTATTATTGTTGTTGTTGGGGTACATTTTATAGAATTCACTTTACAGACCATGTTTTGAAATAAAAAACAACAACAATAAATTACCATTGTATTAGATTTTTTTTAAAGAAAATAATATACATTTATCTTAAAAACAATATTTGAATGCAGCAGTAATAACACATCTAAAATGGCTGCAAACTTTGTAACATTATTATAACAATAGGTTACTGCAACAATGTTAACATAGATAAATAAAATGTCAAGATAACATAGATAAATAAAATACTTTAACTGATTACTTTAATTCAAAAAAAGATTATTGATTGTCGTTGCATTCGTTATAATGGTCGTATATCAGTCTTTTAGATGTGGAGAAGTGCTGGTTTGCTGGTAAAAGAATAACCGGATTAACACCATCAACTCTGCAACTCACTTTGCTGCAAATTGAACAGAAAACATCAAGACAGTTAGGACATTGCTTTAGGCCAAAAGCTTGACATTTCCTTTGTTTGCAAAAACATTCAACTTTATATTTAATAAACTTTTCTTTAGCTTCTTCTTTCTTTTTTTTAGCTTCCTCCTTTGCTGTTATCTTTGGTCGTTTCTCTTTTTTTATATCTTTCACTTTTGCTGCAACATCTTTTGCACGCATCGAACCATAGACCTGAGTAACACGAGTAGATAATTTTTCAAGGTTTGGTTTAATTTTCTTAATAGTTAGCAGATCAGGAATATTTTCTAATTAAAGGCTTTGCTCAGCCATTTCTCTAATCAAGATATGAAACTGGTCAAACTTATCTTTTCCAGTAGTTTGCCGAACCTTTCCTTATACCAACTGGTGACGAAATGGTTGATTCAGGTTTTTTAAAAGAAGTTGACGCTGGTTCTTCTTTATGAATGCATGCAGCAGCTCGCTCAAATTTATCTTGTTGCATAAAGTTAACATTTAATTCAAAAGGTGATATTCTAACTCTTTTTGCACTAGAAACAAGAACCGATTTCGATGTCCATTTCTCCCATATATATTGCCTAAATTGGTCATAAATCCCTCTCGATTAATTGATTGCATTGGGTTGAAAAGATAATTCTTGGCAATTTTGTACTCATGATGAAGATTTTTATTAACCTGGTCAAGCAACTGAGTTACACCAGTAGTGTCGGAAGGAGAAATAAATAACCAAATTTGTTTTGAAAGGAGGTATATTAAACCGTCATAACTGAATAGTGAACTATGTCCATCAGGTAATAAAACAACAGGTTGTTCTATTGCCTTCTCAGTAAGGTAATCATCAAACTCTTGGCAAGCCGCCTTAAAAGTATCATTATCTGAAATCCCATTTTCAGATGTTGTAACAAGGAGGTGACTGATTTTTTCTACAGCTACTTGTGGTGTCATCTGGCTTGTTATTCCAACCGAGGAAAAAATGACTTGACATATACAAACATCACCTGAAAAAGACACAAAAGGGTAAATTGAAACACATTCCCTGTTTTCTTTATGCATTTTTAAGCATTGTTCACCTTTCCCTGCATATACCAAGCCTGTTAAAGTACCATCAACACTATAGTTCACAAGTTGCGGTGTCTCATCATCATTAAATATTGTTGTTGTGTCAATGTCACCCTTCCATACACCCTCGTCTACTTTTTCAGCATTTTTCATAATACTGGCTGCCTGAAGTTCCAAGATCATTCAAATGATTACAAGCCATTTTTCAGGTACAGTTAAGTGCTCTGTTTATTGATACCTGACCCTGGCGTTTAATTGTTAGGCTTGAATGCTTTGCATGGAATCGTGTCCAAAATGAACGACTAAGTCTGAAACAATAAAAAATGGTCTAAAATATTCTATAGAAATAACCCTAAACATTTGACTTGCACTTACAAATGATCAACATTCACTGCTATATATATATAAAAAAAGCAAGGCTACAAATATTACTATTGAGTAATTTTGATTATGTAAATTTCATTTTTTCTTTCGATCAAACATGAACAAAAAATCAACAAAAAATCCTTAGACTTACTTCCCATTAACCAGAGCTGATTTTGCATTAGGAGACAACTTAATCAACTTCCTACCTCCTTTGCATCTTTTATTCATGTAGTCCCTTATCCTTAAAATATCAAGAAGGAGTTTGGTCAACTCTGTCTTGTTGATACCTTGCAGACTTCTATTCTTGTTCTTGACATATTTCACTACAGCCTCCTCTTCTTCAAGTGTAAAAATACTACAATAGCGACGTTCCTCGCCTAGGAAAAACCAAAGCTTTTTAGATATCTAAATAAATTAAATCATTATTCAGTAAAAAATTTTTACTTACCATTTTTTATTATTCGGTCTAATCTTCTATTAATCGTTTCTCTATCTTTTACTAGCTGAAACAAACCAGTCTTCAAGGCCTTATAGCCTCGCACGCTGTGGTCAATACAAAATTGTACTGCCTTTTCTAATTGTAAATTCTTTGCATCTGTGAACTTCCTCCCAATTGATGCCTCAGGCTTACTTTTTCCACAAATAGATTGTATTTTTTCCTGTCTGAGCTGAAATTTTCGCTTCATTTTCTATGTTAATTTTTTTCTAACTCTATTTGATTAAAAAAATTATTGTTAAACATTTTAGAGTACATTAGTTGCTTACAGAACATATCTAAATACACACACACACACATATATATATATATATATATATATATATATATATATATATATATATATATATATATATATATATATATATATATATATATATATATATATATATATATATATATATATATATATATATATATATATAATAGTCACGGTCAAAAGTTTGTAACATTCTATGAAAACATGATTTTTGTTAAATTATTTATTTACTGTATCAAAATATGATATTATTCATGTTAATTGACATAAATAATAACTTTAAAACATTAGTAAATGTTTGCTCATCAGTTGAAAACTTGGTATGGTGTCCTTGAGATTTCAAACAATTAGCTAAATGGTTATGAAGAAGCTATTAAATTAGGAGTTAATCGGCTTTCTTAATTATTCAGGAAGCATAAATTCAATCTATACTTACATAAACTTTCGTAGCTTAAATTTTCTTTCATAGATCATCAGAAATTAAGTATCAGTTTCTAAACTTGATTTTTAAGATGACTGCAATAACTTTCAATAAAGCTCTGGTAAATTACCAGGCCAAAAGATGATGACCTTAATCTTATTTTCAGGTAACCAAATGTTTACAAGCTTGGCCCGGTGACAAAGTACTCCATTATGCTGAAGTTCGTGGGTATTTGTGATGTTTGTGAATATTTTAGGCTTTTCTTGAAGTATTCCAAGGTAAACAAGATTATCTATTGTAGTGTTAGGATGCATAAACCATAAGCCACCACTTTGATTGAAGATAATGGCATCCCATGTTGATTTTGGAGCAATATTTTACAACTAAAAGCAAATATTGGGGGTTGTATTGTTGGCAAATGTTAATTTGAGTAATTGTTAATTAAATATTTTGCTGCTAAATATTTCATCCTTCTAATCTTCTGCTGACCAGTCCTTTTATTTTAAGCAGAAGGCCATATGGTCTCATTTTTTTGAAATAGACCATATGGTTTTTTACTGGAACATTGCTCTTTAAATGAAATAGTTTGTACAAAGTTCTTCTGATTATCACTTGGTACAAACCAGTGTCTACTTATAGATGAAACTTCAGAAGCATTAACAAATGAATAGGCTTTTGCATAACAATGAATGCTATTATCTACCATTTGAGTCACCTTTGGTCTTCCAGTTTGGGCTTAGTTTTTAAAATCACCAGTTTTATGATATTGTTTTAATATTTTTATTATGCAGCTTTGTGTCATATTAAAACGTTATAAACATAGTTGGACCTTCAACTATTATTAACTATAAATACTATAATGGGCACTGCTCTAAAGAGCTAGCTAGTCTCTTGTGCCATCTACTAAAGTTCATTCTCGTTTTACTCGTCATTCAATCAAGTCTCATCCTTTTTCTGTGACTATTCCTTATTTCTCCGAAAACTCTTATTCGTCTAGTTTTTTCATTTTTTGTTAGTTCATTAGTTATTCCCATAAACAATTTATTTTTTAGATAAAATAACTACAAACTATGCCTAAAACCTGTTACCTATGTATATAATATTACCTATGTATATAATATTAATACTCAAAATTTTGAATGTAAAAAATAATTTTTAAACAAATATTTTAAATTTTCCTGAAATTTTAAAAATATTCTAAATTTTTGATTGTGAATATATAAGTATTGTTTATTTTAAAGAGGGTTTTATTTGTTGCTATTTTTTATTTATATGATGATTTGATTTAAGCTTTTTTTGTTTAGAAAATCAAGATTGTTCAAACAATGTCAAAAAAAAAGAAAATTTATTAGTTTTTATTTATATATTCTTGGTTTTTGAATGAGTTTTTATAAAAAATTTTTTTATTATTATTTATTAAAATTAAAATTGAAACAATAAAAAATTGTGATGTTGCTATGATATCTTTTATTGTTGTAACAACCTTTATTATTGCTATCAGATCAATATGGTAATACTTTTTAGTAAGGTGTTTGTTAAATTGCTTTAAAAATGGAATCTAATAGTGTATATATGAAATGTTATACTTAAATATTATATAACCGTATATGAATAATGTTTATTCATATATGGTTTCTATAAATCACTCAAACATATTTACATAAAATTTATGTATATTAGTTTATTGTATGGTATATTTTTTCTTGATTTTTTCCTAAGCTGCTTTATTTTATTACACCTATGTTCATATGAGCCATACTATTTCTCCATCAGTGTAATAATTTATTCATTAATTGTAAAACATACTATTTGTCTGTGATTCATCTACATATATACACCTATATACTCAGGGCCTATTTTAGTAATAAAATTTGGGTGGCAGTACAATCCCCCTCCTGTGTCAGCAAAATTTAGGGGAAATTGATGTTTTATTGCGAAAAAAACAATATTTGCCATAACAAATGTAAAAAAAAAAAAAAAAAAAAAAAAATTCCTTAAATTTTAATTTGGGTAGCAGCAGAATACATTCGTCACTGTCGAAAACTGTCTAGAATAGCCCCTGATACTACATATATACACTTGTACATCATCGTATATGAGCCCTTGTTTTTATGATCTTAATAGGTTAATTATAAATTTTTGCAAGCATTTGAAAAATGGTTACTCCACTTGAAAAGAATGAAGTTGAGCATGACTTTGTTTGGTACCCTAAACCAGCTGAAACTCAATCTGACAAATTTATACGCAAATTTAAAGAAAATCCATTTGTACCAATTGGAGCTGGTTTAACTGTTACAGCATTAGTTATTGGATTAGTAAATTTAAAGCGTGGTAATTCTGCAAAGCAGCAAACCATGATGCGTGCAAGAGTAGTTGCTCAAGGCAGTACAATAGTTGCAATAATAGCAGGTTTCTTGTATCATCAATATAAAAAAAAACAATGAAATTTTGTAAATGTTTTAAATAATAACTCATTATAAATGAGTTATCTTTTGTTTTTAATTTACTTATTTTTACTTTTCATTTTAACTATACTCATAGTGTAACACTCTACTTGATAATATTTTTAACTTATTATGTTTAAAAATTGTAATTTATTGCTTTGCAAAATCAAAAAATAGTTGTATACTTATGCAATTTTTATTATTCAATTACTCCTATTCTTTTTTTTCTAAAATTATTTATAAAGATTGTAATCAGTTACTTTTTTAAAACATCATTTAATGTTATTATATTGTAATGTTTCATTCAACCAAAGATCTATAAAATTCACATTTTTTCAAAAAAAACTGTATAGATTTAAGCCAGCAAAAAAGGTCAGCAAATGTATATCTTTATACACTACGCATAAGGTTTCTTTTGTTGTTGATTTAACACTGTTGCATCACCTTAGAATTAAACATTGTTTAAAGTCAGCATCTGTGAAGGAAAACCTTAACAGATGTTAGCAAAATGAATGTTTTTATAATATAAAGTATGCCGTAAAAAAATTTAAAGTTTCACTCAAAAAAAAAGAGTTTTAGTGAAAGAAAAATTTTTATTATTTATTCATGCATTTTATAAACACATTAAATGCTAAAACTTAGGAGAATACCAAGTGTAGTCAACTAACTCCTAATTTATTGTTTTTAATCATAAAAATAATAATAATAGATACACTTTACAATTTGAGCCAGGATAGCTCATTTGGTTAAAGCGCTGCTAACAAGTTCGGAATAATTATTGGCTGTAGCAGCAGGATTGCAGGTTCAAATCCCTTTATTATATATTTATTTATTATGTATCTTATAAATGTTTTTGCTTTATTTTTTTCTTTTGCCTTACAAATATTTTTCACATTTTTTTGCCATATTATTGTTATTGTACGAATGCATTTGCAGTTTTTGTTTTTCTATTTGTTTCTTTTTTAAGCATAAATGAAATTTTGGTCTGTTTTCAAAAATCTTCTAAAGTCTAGAAAACCTGATGCTTCTTTAGTATTAACAAGTCATCTTCAAAATCGTGGCAAACCTTGCTGGACATCATATTTTGTGCCGTACGCATCTGTTCGTAATGATCATTTTGGGTATTCACACTTCAACTGGGAAGTGGACGGAGTGAACTATCACATCTTAAGAACTGGGTGTTTTCCATTTATAAAGTATCATTGTAGCAAAGCTGCTTGGGTTGACTTAAGAGCACAAAACTATTTTTTTAATTTTTTGAAAGTTATAAACTTAGGTGTACCGACTTTAGCCTATGGGTTAATTACTGTACTTTTAATAACATGTCATGAAGATGTACTTTTAAACCAAAGCTTTGATAGTTCAAAAAACTGCCAGACGGTTAGAATTTATTTTCATAATACTGAAAATAATATTTATTAAATGTATTAAATTTAAACTATAATTTGTTTTTAAATGCATATATGTATTATGTATGTATTATGTATATTGTGTATATATGTATGCATGCATATTTATTGCATGTTTGTGTGTGTGTGTGTGTGTATGTCATTCATATTCCATATTCCAAATATACCTGCTCAAACCCTGATTTTGACTAATTGAGATATTGAATGAATATCGAATGCTATGGAATAAAAATGCAAAAAAAAAAAAAAAAAAAAACAATTCTGAAATATGTGTTAATCTGATTATTTTGTGTGATTTTATTTATTGTTTGCTAATTTTGCTCAACTTTTCTTTTACTATCTTTTTATTGTTTTATCAATTTTCTTTCGTAGCAAAAATTTTCCTTAGTTTTTTAATTTGTAAGTTTGAGTTGTTTAATTGTAATCAGAAACTTTTAACTTGAAAAATAAATTTTAGTTTTTGTATTAAAATTAAAGCTGTATTTAAAATAAAAGTTATATAATATTTAGATTGTTTGTCGTTTCATTTATTTATTTATTTTTGTTTTTGTTGTTCAGAATTTTTAAGTTTTTTCGTTCTTAAATAGTATAGTATAATGCTGTAGCTATTAAAAGGTTAAGCTGCAGCTGTTACCAGCAAGTGTGAAGTGTTGCATACTTTTGACAGACTTTTCATGTTTTAATTCAAGTTTTCTTCAGTTCTTTTCAATTTGTTAAAATTTTTTTATTAATGTAATCTATCATAGATGTTTTTGATATTGATTCTGCGGCTTCTCCTGGCAGATTGATGGCTTCTTCTGGAAGAGAATTTCATAATGGAAAGAATTTCCTTGTTGTTTTTAAACTTGTGACCTCAATGTATGGCCTCAATGGTGGATCGATGAGCTCAACTTAATCTATTCCTTTAAATATTTTTATCACTATCCTTTGTATTCTCTTATCCAGAATTATTATTTTATTATTTAATTCTTTCATTTTATTATTTAAATCTTCATATGCAGTTTTTTAGATCATTTTAGCTGCTTGTCTTTCCGCTTTTTCCAGATTATTATTATCCCATTTTTTAGTTGAAGACTTATCTGGAGTAACAAATTCAATATTTGGTTGCACAACATATGTGGTCACGCAAGTACTTTATAGTAAATAAAGTATAATTTTGTTGTGATGTGCAAAAGTTCTTTTGATTTGACCTAAGATTGAATTTTCTACTTTTTTTATATTTTCTATTGTTGATTAGATCATTGGCAACAAATTTTGTTATATTTTGAAGGCAATCAGGAAAATCATTAATACCTATCAAAAATAATGGTCCAAGGACGGATCCTTAAGGAATGCCACTTAACTAGTTTTTCCATGTAAAGGCAGAATCACTTTGTTTGACTCTTTGACATCCGTTATTTATAAACCTTTTTATTCACTCTATAAGTTTTCCACACACACACACTGTAGGCCTCAAGTTTTAAAATTAAACATCATTGTCAAATGTTTTAGCAAAATCAAGTTTAATTAGATCAATGTTTTAGCAAAATCAAGTTTAATTAGATCAATGTTTTAGCAAAATCAAGTTTAATTAGAATTTATTAGATAAAGAGCACAAAATTCAACTGTTACAAAAAGATTGGTTGTACATAATTTTAATTTTAAATGGTCTTTTTTCTATTTATTGCTTTTAATTATTTGTTATTATAAAAATATTTTTTCATAGTTCTTCAAAATAATTATCAGATATTTATATTATAAAATAAAATAATAAGTTTTTCAAATAAATAGATTCATTTTATGTTAAAGCCACATATTTATGTTAAGGCCACTTTAATGGATTTTATAATATTATAATTGGTAGGTAGTTGGTAGCGTTTACAGTGAAAAAAATATTTTTAAAAATTCTCAAGAGAACAATTTTATTTTCTAAACATTAAGATTAGTTGATTTTAGTTTACTTAATAAAAAAGCTAAATGTATGTCATAAATTAATAGTTAAAAAAATGTTTATTCTAATCAGTCATTTCAAATCCTTATTTTGAAGTGTAATATGTCTGATCAAAATTGAAAACATTTTGTGAAGTGCTTTTTGCTCTATAATTTTCTATTGATAACTTATGGTGGGGATTTCAAAGCTACAGAAATTGAATGGCAATGCACAACTTTATTATTTCTTTTAATTAAACTTATGTATTGATTAAAGTTTTATTCTTTTTGAATCATAAAACATTTTTTTTGTTTAAAATGTTTATGAACATCGTTTTACATTTTTATAAATCTTTTTAGTTTTTTTTTATTTAAGAAGTTTATAAAAATCATGTTACATTTTTCATAAATCTTTTTAGTTTTTTTTTTTAAGATTCTGTTGCTAAAATGGGTCGATCAAATAAAAACAAAAGTAAATTAACAGTTTGTAAAAAAATAGATAATAAAGATAAGGTAGATAATAAAAAGCTGCAGAAGGCACTTGCTTCTGACCTTGAAAATGGTATTAAAGAAGAGGAAAGAATGCAAGAGCTGTTAGATTTGGTAGGTTTATAACTTGTTTTTTTTTTTTGTTTTTGTTGTTTTTGTTTGTTTTGTTTTAGTTTTTCAATAAAAGTAGTTAAATGTATTAATTTTTAAAATTTAAAAAAAATAATAGAAAATTTAATTCTAAATACTGAATTAAAGTCAGGCCCCAATTTTATAAAGAAATTCATATAAGTTTGTCTGTCTGTTTATCTTACATATTGAATTGTTTGTGACATCTGACTTTTAGTGTGTTGGGCTAATTTCACACATAATCTAATAGAATCAAATTTTCCCAGAAATTTAACCCCAAAACTTTTTATTGCAAGTCTGGTGAAATTTTCAACCAAACCATGAAAAGCCGTATAAGTACACTATGCCGACAAGCCTTCTTGACGTTTAATAATTTCTGGTTTTATTTATCAATTGTTCATTGTTTTGTGAATTAGCTTCTATTTTATTAGTTAGCAGTGTAGAATTCATTTGTATTGTTTCTATTTTAATCCAAGAATCTATTTTATTAGTTTGCTGTGTAGAATTCATTTATACTGCAAATTCATTTGAATTCTACACTGCAAGCACATCTAAAAAATGTTTACTTTAAAAGTAAAAGTTTTTTTAATTTCATTTTTGATGAGCACATTTTTTCTGCCAATATCATGGTTACTTAGTGGTATTACTTTTTAATAAAGATCTTTAACAAACTACTTTAAGTTTTTAATGAACATCTTTAACTAACTTTCTTTTTCTTTTTTTTTTTTTTTTTGTTTTATTTTAGGATACCTCTTTATTTTTCCCATATTTTGAAATCTCTTGAGGCTAAAAAAAATTATTGTCAAAAAGCGATATCTTTTTCATGCGTCAAATAAGCACCTTAGAGAATTCCAGTATTCATAGATTTGTGCTCAAAAATACGCGTTATTTAGAGTTAAACTGAACAATATGCTTATCATGTACTTATAACAAAATTAAGCCTATATATGCTTTTAAAAATAATAACATGTAACATGCCAATCATTTTTGATCAATTAAAAAAAAAATGCATACATATTTGTTGTCATGCAACATACATTTTACATATACATTTGTTTACATACATATTTGTTGGCATTTTACATATAGCTAAAAATTAAAATAAGCTTTAGCAAGTAATAAAATTTAATTAATGATTGAATGAATAAATTCATATGTGGAAACCAAAGCTACCAGTTATTAGCAGGTCAACAGAGCTTGCTGAACTTCTAGATTCCAATAATTGAATCCTGTTTAAGATAACTGCAATTCCTGTTGAAGAGGTGGAAAGTTGGATCAAGTGCTATTCTAGCCGGACATTTTATATATTTAGAAGGATATGTATCATTGATTGCTCTAAAAGAATACTCAACTGATCAATGAGTTTGTTGCAACCTAAAGGTCAGAATTGATGCTGGTCACCAAGTGACCAGCATCAAGTCTGACTTTTCTTTAAAGATTCTTTAAAAAAAAGTCCTTTTTATTCAGATGTTGCCCAGTACCTGTTTTAAAATCAAAATTTGGCATAAACTTAGAAATCATTTATATGTTTATGCCAAATTTTGATTTTGAAGATTTAATTAAGGAGTAAAAAGAATTTTTAATTATTAAGGATAATTAAAAATTAATTGATTGACTTGATTTTTAAATTCTTATCTTAAATTGTTCATGTTGTTAACATTTTTTTTGGGATTTCTTTGGATTTTCTACAAATTTTAATTTGTTTTAGGATTTTATGTTTTTGTTAGGTTAAAAATGACAACTATGATGAAGATATCATTTGCACTCTGGCAACAATTTCTGGTTTTGTTTTGGAAAGCAAAGGAGTAGATTTATTTTCTAAGTTAAATGGTGTGAAACAAATTTCCTCATGCATACTGCATTCAAATGTTGAAATTAGAGAAAAAACATTAGGAGTAATGAGGTATAATGATTGTGTGTTTATAAAATTGATTGGCTGATAGTTTACATGTAAGTTGTTATGTTATTTGCTTTTTAGTAATTTTATTTTGACAGGTGGTGACAGAGTGGTAGAGAATATTCACAGCAGTAGTTTTATTACAAATCTCACACAACTTCTTTTACAGGTATATTCATATTCAATATATCTATATCTATATATATATATATATATATATATCTATATATATATATATATATATATATATATATATATATATATATATATATATATATATATATATATATATATATATTTATATATATATATGTATATATATATATATATATCTCTCTCTCTCTCTCTCTCTCTCTCTATATATATATATATATATATATATATATATATATATATATATATATATATATATATATATAGGGCCTATTCTAGGAAAAAATTTGGGTGGCGGTACCCCCTTGTTCCGTTGAACTTTAGCAAAAAATCAGCAGTTTTTTCGCAAAAAAAAACAATATTTGTCGTAAAAATAAAAAAAGGTTCTTAAATTTTAATATATAATACTCAAATGCGGTTGACGCTGTCGAAGTGGTCTGGAATAGCCCCTGATATATAAATATATATTTTTTCTTTATTAATAGTATATTCTTTTAGTTATTATAGATATCACTGTTGAATATTTATTTGTAAATAGTAATTTTTAGTATATATATATATATATATATATATATATATATATATATAGGGCCTATTCTAGGAAAAAATTTGGGTGGCGGTACCCCCTTGTTCCGTTGAACTTTAGCAAAAAATCAGCAGTTTTTTCGCAAAAAAAAACAATATTTGTCGTAAAAATAAAAAAAGGTTCTTAAATTTTAATATATAATACTCAAATGCGGTTGACGCTGTCGAAGTGGTCTGGAATAGCCCCTGATATATAAATATATATTTTTTCTTTATTAATAGTATATTCTTTTAGTTATTATAGATATCACTGTTGAATATTTATTTGTAAATAGTAATTTTTATGTAGATAAAATTTTGTCAGCAACAATAAAAATTTAATATTTAGTTGCAAATTTAATATTTAGTCGCTGCAAAGCAAAACTATCTTAAGTCCATTTTTGGCAAAATCGACTTTTTTAGTTTAAAATACTCCTTAGGTGCACCAAAGTCATCTCACAAAGTATGGAACAAAAAATAATTCAACTTTTGCAACTGTGAGTAAATTTCAAATATCGTATGTCCTAAAAAAAATAATTAAGAGACATTGTTGCCGTTAAACAAAACTAAATCTTAAGTCTATTTTTTGGCAAAAAAAAATTTTTTTTGGTTTAAAATACTCAACACATATGATAAACAACTAAAAACAAGTATATTTAATTAAAAAAAAATCAAAAGCAGTGATTAAATTTAAAACTTTAAATGTCTTTTTCTCAAAACAGCAAAACGGACTTGAGATTGGCTTGTTTTGCAGTGGTAATTTTATTTGTATAATTATGTCATATTTTATATAGTTTTAACATTATCTAAAGTTGATTTTCATGGTCCCTTTATATAAATTTAAAATTTTATTTTTTATTTGTTATATTATGAAAAATAATAACATATTCTATAAGTGTTTTAAAAACAATTTGGTTTAATTAAGAAGATCAAAGGCAGTGATGAAATGAAAACTATAAATGCTTTTTTCTCAGAACAGCAAAAATGAACTTAAGATAATCTTGTTTTGCAGCGACGATTTATTTATAAGTTAACTTAGTTATTGTTTATTTCTAAGTTTACTTAGTTATTGTTTATTTGTAAGTTTACTTAGTTGTTTTTTACTTGTAAGTTTACTTAGTTTTGTTTAATTGTAAGTTTATTGTAAGTTCTTGATTGTGCTGTGTTGTTAGTCTCTTAAGTTAGCACTGTCCTAAAATATTTTGCATGTTATAAGTTTTAAAATGCAGATTTTAATCAATGTTTTCTGAAAAAGAAGGAAAAATTAAAGAGTAGACATTAGGTTTTCCTCTCAGAAGTTTCTGATTTCTATCAAGAAAATCTTCAAAGTGATTTTTAATGGTACGGAATTCCCAACCAAGTAATAACATTTTGTCTAGCATATCTTTATAATAACTTTCCAAAATTTTTTTATTAATTAAGATTATTAATTAATCACAATTATTTAATAATCCTATTTTTACCAATTACCAATACTATATTATTATAGTATTTGGTAATTGGTAAAAATAGGATTATTAAATAACATTATGTTAATACTATATTAGCATTATGTTAATACTATAGTATTAATACTATATATTAACATAATGTTAATATATAGTATTAATACTATATATTAACATAATGTTAATATATAGTATTAATACTATATATTAACATAATGTTAATATATAGTATTAATACTATATATTAACATAATGTTAATATATAGTATTAATACTATATATTAACATAATGTTAATATATAGTATTAATACTATATATTAACATAATGTTAATAAATTTGCGTAATGTTAATATATAGTAGTTTAAGTTACTAAACCTTCAGTGAACCTTGTTCTCCATTAATTCCAACTCTAACAATGGTTTTCAAAAGATCGAATCCACATAGAAAGCAAATTTCTTCAACAAGTCTAGTGATATTTATCTATAAAAAATTATTCAGCTCTGAGTTAATAAGTTATTCACTCTAGTCATTTTACAAAGCAATTTTTTGTAACAGTATAGTTTATCTAGACCATGAGACTGCTTCTTAATTGAAGCAAATCAATTCTTTCCAACACTTATTTGTAAAATCCTATAATATAAAAATACATTTTTTATATTATAGGATTTTATAATTTTTATAATATTAACTTAGGATTATTATAAACACGATCACACATGATTAAGATGATAAAGATATTTGCGTAAATCACTAAGAGTCACAAACTGCATTAGTTAAATCATAATTTTTCTAGCAGTGATCCTCCTAAAATTAAAGTAAAATATTTCTGCATGTAGCTGCAAATAAAGAAAAAAAAAGAAAAAGAAAAAGGTCTACCAGTGGAGAATAGTAGCGAATTTTCATCCTAAGCTAAAAACGTCAGAACAATTGAGGTTATTTGCTCTGACATTTTTTTATCTTAAGAAAAAATAAGGTTCTTGACATTTTGAACAGCTGATGTTCTGGTACATGGATGCCTAATGGCCTTTCCAACAGTTAGAAGCAATCAGTGCCAAACGAGTTTAAACTTTCTATGGAAAAATTTATGATACTATGCTTCAAAAAGACGCAAGGGTCGGTCCTCAGTTAGAGTAATCCTTTCAATCTTAAAAATAATTCTCTCCCACTTTTCCAAACAATTTCCATCATTGAATGCAACTATGAGGACCTACAAATCACAAAGTTAAAATTCATGCAAATTTATTGATCAATTGGGTAAAATATTTATCTCTTAATCCATGAAAGTTTTTAGTTTGATTTTTTCTTTTAATTTTTTTTTCATAAAAGTACCCTCTTAAAAAATTCTTCTTGCAATAATATGTTCTGTTAATGCACCAAAAAGTTATTTACTCAGTGATGATTTAATTTCACACTAGATATCTATCTTACACACACACTAGATATCTAACTTGCGGGATTTTATTAAAGATAATCTGAACATAGATGCTTTTTTAGTTTACAAATTTAATTCACCACTTGTAATAAAAGCAAAAGCTTTAACTGATGTACAAAATGAAAGTTAAAAATGCATGTTGAGATCATCTAGAGTTCCTAATAAATTAGAGACCATTTGAAGACCAGTTTTAATAATTACTTATAAAAGTTTTTTCATGAGCTTAGGTTCTTTAAAAAATATAATTCATAGAAATGCCCCAAAAGCATCTGTTTCTCATAAAACTTTTTTATTTGAAACTTTATTCTCTGTCTAATCAGAGAGAAATTAAAAATAAAATTAATTAAATTTAAATATAAATTATTATTTTCAAAAGTAATAATAATCACATGTATCATAACATATGAATGTATATATATATATATATATATATATATATATATATATATATATATATATATATATATATATATATATATATATATATATATATATATATATATATATATATATATATATATATATATATTTAAACAATTTAAAATGTATTCTACAAAAAAAAGTGCTCAATGTTCTTAAAAAAACAGAGCAATTACAAATTAGTAGAAAATCACTTAGCAAAGTTTTTTCTCATTTAACACTGTGTTTCATCAATAAAGACTCATCAGAAATCATATATATATATATATATATATATATATATATATATATATATATATATATATATATATATATATATATATATATATATATATATATATATATATATATATATATATATATATATATATATATATATATATATATATATATATATATATATTATATACATATATAATATATATATATAATATATAATATAATGTATATATATATATATATATATATATGTATATATATATATATATATTATATACATATATAATATATAATATAATGTGTATATATATATATATATATATATATATTATATACATATATAATATATAATATAATGTATATATATATATATATATATATATATATATATATATATATATATATATATATGTATGTATGTATGTATGTATGTATGTATGTATGTATGTATGTATGTATGTATGTATATATATATATTTATTATATTTATAAATGTATATGCATTCACGTGTTATTGTGTTATTGTATTATGTTATTATCCATGTTATAATTGTTATTTTTTTTTTTTTAAGTCAAGTAAACTTATGGATTTCAGCTGTGAAGTAGTTTCAAAAGAAAATTATCAAAAAGAAATATTGGTGTTAAAACAAGTTTTGCAATTATTTATGTGTTTATGGTATGCATATTTTGTTATATTTTTCAACCTTGATTTTTTTTCAATAAATTATGTTTTGAATCGTCCATAATTATAGATGATTAAAAATATAAGGAACACTTTTTATATTAAGATTTTTTTAAATCTGTTTTTAGGCTTTAAATTATTTATTAAGTGTTTTTAATTTTTTTTTGAAAACTTTTTTAATGCTAGATAATATTTTTTTAAGCATTTTTTTAATATTTAATGTCTATGATTCCACTCGGGTGGTATTTAAATACTATGCTTTATTCCATAACTTTGGAATCTTAAGCTTTATAAATAGTTACATAGCTTAAGGTCTTATGATTATTAAATTTAATTTTTTTTACAACATACTACATTACAACATTACTACAACATATAGCATTAAAACATACAAAATTATTACAACATTGCAATCAGAGTTGTTAACAAGGCTAAAAGTATCAAGACCAAGGTCAAGGCTACGCGTTACAAGGTCAAGTCCAAGACCAAGGCCAAAAGTTACAAGGCCAAGGACAAGGCCAAGGCCATACCTTACAAGGTCAAGGCTAAGATTAAGAGTTTCAAGGCCAAGGCCTACGCAAACATTTTCAAGACCAAAGTCTTTAACTTTTGCTTTACGTTAAGGCCAATTATTAACACAACTGTAAGTAGCAAGGTTTTTTTTTTTTTTTCACCTCCATTATTCACCTCCCCAAGGCCCGAGTTGGCCCACTACAGTCGAGGAAGCTACTTTTTGTTGTTGTTGTTGTTGTTGTTGTTGTTGTTGTTGTTGTTGTAAATCGTGGTACAACCCTTTCTCAACTCTTTAACTCCGAAACACGAACCTTGACAAGCAAGGCCGCTGCGCGGAGAAATTAAGTGCTTTGACAATTAAACCATATTTTGTAAAAATAAACCAAGTTTATAGGTAAAATTCAACAAAATCAATGAGAAAACATCTATTTTTTTAAGGCCAAGGCCAAAACAATCAAGGCCAAAGTTTTCAAGACCAAGGCCAAAGCCAACAGTTTCAAGAACAAGGACTAACAACTCTGATTGCAACATATAACATTATAACATATAACTTCATAAAATTTTTTAAATGTAGCTTTTTCTTAAAGTGAAGCTTCAACTGTTTTGGTGGATTCCATGGATATCCAAATATTATTTCCAGTTCTTTTAACTATTATTATCAACAAATCGTTGGAGTATGATTTAAGATGCATTGCAGGTAAAAAACAAGTTTTTCTTTTCTTTTTCTTTTTGTTTTATTTATTTTTTTATATATATTTATTTTAATTTATTTTTATTTTTTGATTCTTAGATTTGTGTGTTTTTGTTAGTTTTTTTTTTATAATTTGGTTGTATGCAAAGTGTTTGCAAGGTGTCTGTTGAAAAAAATGTTTACTCAATTATGGTAAAAGTAATGGAGGAGGCTACTTCTTTGCTACTCTATCTGTAAATGTCAATATTAAGGTATCTCAAAAAACAATTTAAAAAAAATGCTATATTTCTATATATTAAAATAACACTCAGTTTAAAAAATTTTAGAAATAAAAAAATATTTTTAGGTGCCCCACAAGACCCTTGAACATCTAACAAGTTCTTAAAGGGATCTCAAACCTCTGAGACATGTTGTGTTCATATAAAATATTTATGTTCATTTAACCAAATTTTTAAAAATACAAAGGAAAACACAACACAAAAAAAGCAACAAAAAGTATAAAGTGTTTATAATGAATGAACAATATTGAAATGAAAGAGAGTGTGAGAAAGAGAGAAGAAAAAATTAAAAACATATCACATGATAAAATAGTATTAAAATAAGTATTATTTTGTATAATATATACAATAAAATATACACAAAACTAAAAAAAAAAATACAGAATTTCTCAATTCTTTTTGAAAATTTTCTAAATTTTTGTATGAGAAATAAATAAAAAACTTCAAAAACAAATAAATTGCAAAAGTATATATTTAAATTTATTTAACAATTAAAATCTTTTCAACAAAATTTATATACCAACAAAACAATACAAATTTTTATTTATAAAAAAGCACAAAATATATATTTTTTAAACTAAACATTAAACAAAAAAACTTTTTATCATTTACAATTTATACATAATTATATTAATTCTATTTATGCATAATAACAAAACAAAATATATGAAGAAAAGTATATATTTACAAAAAAACTTTAACAAAATCTGCATCATCAATAACAATTAGTAGATTGACCAACTACAAAAATACTAATTATAGATGTAGCATATTATTTTCCCATCACTCTCTTCCCTCATATTTTACGTTCTACAGGGTCCACACTCCTTATATAAAGAAGGAGGGGGCGGTAACTTTTGCACTAAATTTAGGCCTACACCTAATGTGCCTTATAAGATGTGGACCCTCTATTTGTTCTGCTATTCAAAGATATTTCAGAGATTGTAAAAGTTAAATAAGAATTACAAAAAAGCCTTGTGCATTATCAGTTAATTGTGTCCGAGTTGACTCCAATATTATAAGAGTATAATAATATTTTGATGGTTTCCTAAAATCTGTCATTGTTTTGCATTTGGTTTAGAATGTTTAACAAGGGCATGGTAAAATAGTTGTAAAACTTAAAATTTCCTTTTTACCTTTATATTGCTATTAGAAAACTAGATATATTCAAAAAAGTGCTGAGAGACTGGTTCTTGCTATTATCTCGGGTTTAATAGTTGCCACAAGTTTCATGCCAATACGCAAATATGAGCATTATCATGTTTATAATATGTTAACATATCATATTTATAATATGATATAATGATATAAAGATATTATATATATATATATATATATATATATATATATATATATATATATATATATATATATATATATATATATATATATATATATATATATATATATATATATATATATATATATATATATATATATATATATATAAAGAAAAATATATAAACTTTTCTTTTTTTTCTGAAAATAACTATTAAAAAATATGGCATTTTTATTTAACAAGCATTGAGAATTATTACATTGTGAGACAATTTAAAGAATAATAATTTGAGCAAATTGCTTGCAAAATGAAACTATTTTGATTTAACATGTTGTAAAATCAAAACATCTGTTGTTTTACTGCAGTAAGCACAGTACTGTATGTATGTATGTTAGGGTAGACATAAAAACAACTTTTTAAAAAAAAGTCTGCTCCCACCCCCAAAATGTTTTCTATATAATGAAGAAATGAATTTAAAAAATGTTTGAACAAAAATTTTTATATAAAATAACTAATTTTTTTACGGTTTTTAAAATTAATTTTTTTTTAACTTTTTTTTAAAATTTTGCTTTTTTTGAGATCCAACATTACATTTGTAAGTAATTGTGTGCGTATAACTCCTTGAATATTTTATGTGTAACACCCTAATTTTTTTAAATTTGAATAAAGTTATAAAACAAATATTTTCTTTTCAAAATATATTTTTATTTATTTTTCAGCAAATTGTTTATATACATTATCTGAAGAAAATAAAAATTTAACTAATCTTGTTGTCAATTATCAAGATCTGTTAAGGGGACTACTTGATATTGTTACAAATAATACATCACTTACCATGTTACTCTCTATTCTTTGTTCTGGTATGTTTTATTATAAAATGTTTATCAATGTTTAAGTATAAGAGATGTAGAATATATATCTCACTTACAAAGAGAGAAGTATGTTCTATTACTACCACTTTTTATACATATATGTGTATATTTTTTTAATTTTTTTAATTGCAGGTATATTAATTAACATTAGTCCAGCTCTTCCATCTCACCATGCTTCTGAAGTTAAAGAAAATTCAATAAAGCTTGCATCTTGTTGTCTTGATTTAAATTTAATAAGTACTATTCTTAAAGATGAAAAAAAGGTTTATTTTTAATAGCTATAATTTGTATGAATATTTACATTACATTTAATTCTTGTTTAGTTGAATACTTATTAACTTGAACTTTTATTATCTTGTTTAACTGTTCCATTTGGTCCCTTGAAATAATGATTACAATTACAAATCTCCGGTTAAAGCAAACCTCTGATAATTTCAAACTTTGTTAAGTCGAACCATTTTTCTGTCCCCTTTCAGCAAAATTCTCGGTCAACTCTTTGTATGAGACATAAGGAAATCAAAATAACTTGATTTAATTTTTTTTCTAAAAGTTGTTCTATATAAAACATCAATAACAATCGCCTAATATTTTCTATATTTTTTTGCTGTAATAAGACCTAAATAGAATCGATCATTATCAGATATAAAATAGTGCTATAATAAAACTGTTACAAAATAAACCATAAAAAATAACATTAAAAAAGCAATATTTTAAAAGTTTTAATAAATTTCTTAATAAAAAATGGCTAGCTTTTAGGCACAATATTATTACCAAATAATAAAGTAATTGTGTTGCTAAACTTTTTTCAATGTTATGCTTGAATGTACAGCATGAATAAAATACTTCTTTTCCTGAAACATTTTTCAAGTTTTTGTAGTATAGTGGTGTATATTTAATGTTTATAGTTAAGCATTGAATAAAAAAAATTGCCTTTACTTAAACTAATACCTCATTTTAGCCAAATTTTGACTTGACAGAAATTCACTTTAGTAAAGGCGGTTTTCCACTTACACGAAATTTTTCGCGAAACGGAAAAGAAAAGAAAATCATCCAATCATGTAACATAAAAAGTGCTTATCTAACATTTTTTTGTTACATGATTGGATGATTTTCTTTTTCTTTCTGTTCCACGGAAAATTTCCTGTGAGTGGAAATCCGCCTTAAAACATTCGTCAAGTCAAACTATTTTCCTCTTGTCCCTTTTTGGTTTGAGTTTCTTGTCCCTTTTTGGTTTGAGTTTGAGGTTTGAGTTATTAGGAATTAACTGTATATACATACATAAAAACACACACATACATACATACATACATACATACATACATACATAAGAAATAGGTGCTTATATATCACTACAAAAGGTAATTATTTATATATTACAAAAGGTAAAGGGTGTGTATATAACATTTTATTCTTAATAGTGCTTTGAAGTGGTTAACTCAAGTTATCTACGCATACAAGATGTTGCCCTGGAAATTTTAACTAACATGCTGTGCACAGAAGAAGGTATTTTAAAAATCTATATTAAACATGATAAATTTAAAAAAAATGTTTTTAGTCTTAGTATTTTAGTCTTCATAGTTCATAGTTCTAGTTAAGCTTACTTTTGGAGAAGAAATTACATGAACTTTTTAAAATGTATATATATATATATATATATATATATATATATATATATATATATATATATATATATATATATACATATATATATATATATATACATATATATATATATACATATATATATATATATATATATATATATATATATATATATATATATATATATATTATATATATATATATATATATATATATATATATCCTGTATCACACAAAATCAACATTGTAAACTCAAAAATATTTTTGATCAACATTGTATCGCATAAAAGTATTGTTAATCATCATTGTATCACACAAAAGTATCTTTATTCGTCATAGTGCTACACAAAAATACCTTAAATAATCATCATATTACTCTTAAAATATTTTTAATCATCAGTGTATAACACAAAAGTATCTTTAATCATCATTATATCACACAAAAATATCTTTAATCAACATAGTATCACACAAAAATATCATTAACCATCACCATATCACACAAAAGTATTTTTAATCTTCATCGTATAACACAAAAATATCTTTAATCATCATCGTATCACACAATATCTTTAATCATCATTGTATCACACAAAGATATTTTAAATCAACATAGTGTTATGAAAATGTAACAAAGAGTAGTACCATACTTAAAGTTTAAATTTAATTTTAAAAATATGAATTTATTTTATTTTATTGACTATTCAATGATTAACAAAATTTGCAATTAAAACAATCATACTAATCTTTCAACATTCAAACAATCTTTGGTGTAAAAGATCAGTCATACTAAAACAAATTTTATACTTGATGTAAACAATTATTCATACTAAATCTTTTATACCTGTGATGTAAAAGGTCATTCATACTAAAAGGTTTTCTTTTAGTATGAATAGTGTTTTATTACAGTTTGTTTATTGCATGAATTATTATTATATTATTTTAAATATTATTGCCCAAATTTATTGTGTAAAAAAATTTTGAAATTGTAATTACAAATTTGAATTATATTAAAATTAACATAACACATTTTTATGCTATTATTTTAAGAAGTAGATTTGTAGTGCTCTTTAGCTTTTGTTTTTTAAGTTTTTTGTTGCAACTGATTAAATAAAAAAATTTTTTTGTGCAAAATGTTTTCTTTGTAAAATATAAATTTGTAAAAAGACAACATGATAGTTTGAATTTTTTCATGAGTTACACTGGATAATCTGAAAAAGTATTTTGTTAAACCCAGCAAACATGGTATAGCGGAATTTTAGTGGTCCTATATAGGCATTTTCAGCGCATCGCTGTAGTTATTTAGCCGACCATTAGTGGCAGCCACTAAAAATGGCTAGCCAATGATTAATCACTATTAAATTGTCAGAAAGTTATTGGCTTGCCATTTGTATTGGCTGCTACTACAGATCTGCTAAGTAACCGGTAAGCAATACTCCAATCAACCACTAAAAAATGCATATAGGTCCACTGCAAATTCACTAAAATAATGTTTGCTGGGCAAGATATTTTTTACAGGTTAATTTCTTCTTTCAGTCAATTATGTTACAAAAGTAAACAATAAATATTAAACTAATAAGGGAAAACGTTTGGATTAAACGAAGCGTAAAGTGCCTAAACATAAACGCTAGACAAACTTGTTTGAACTATTATTTAAAGACGCATTTATCAAATTTTGAAAAGGATATAAAAAGGTGAAGAAATAGTTCAAAGAGCGATGGAAATAGTACGGAGAGCAATAGAGAGCTATGGAAATAGTATAGAGGCGCAGACGTAGTACAAGAAAAGTGGAAGAAGAAGACGAAGAAAATTATATATAGACATTTATAATATATTGAAGTTAATATTGTATTGGATAAACTATAAGAGTTAATAAAGATATTTTAGTTTGTAACATTTAAATACTATTACATAACAGTTTAAAATAACATTTGAGTAACTCTGTTAAATAATGTTCACGTAACATTTGGATACAACTCTGTAACATTTTATATACACCAATTCTGTAACATTTGCAGGCACTGCCTGGATCCAAGTAGATTCCTTCTCTGCTTGGGCCGATTGATTCATCTGCATAAGAAAAGATTTGTATATATTTTTTTATCATCTGCTATTTTACTCATGCTAGATTACTCACGGAACTGTAATTATTATTACCGACTTTATTAATTTTGTGATTTATGTATGAGCCATCTACAATCAGGTAAAATATGCCCATATAATGAACCTAATCTTTGTATCCATACCACCGATAATTATCATAAATCTCTCAGCAACTCCTCCTATTCTACCTACTCCTTAGAACTGTCCAATACCAATCCATTTAAAACCAAAAACAGCTGTTCCCCAACGTATACTGAAGCGGAAAAAGACGCTTACTAAAAATGGTTTTCAAGAACTTTAAGTGCAATTCCGACAACATTATAACAATCCATAAAGCCCCACCTATGGGATGCCTTTAAATTAAAACAACCTATCAATTATCAAGCTGCAGTAGCGTTTGCCAAGTTGCAAGATACAATTAAATCGGATTAAGCTAGATGCACTCCTAAATCCCCCTAAACAAAACATTGTGGCTATGACCTACCGCGAACAACCCAACATAAATCAATGTATTGATGGACTAAAAACAGAAATAGCCTTGGTAAAGCAAAATAATTGTTGTCATTTCCAGCACAAAAGATTTCATCCAACTGGTTGTAACTTACGTACCAGCGATAGACAAGTAATATGCAATCAATGCTTCAGAGTAGGACACGCCCAAAGATTGTGCCCTGAACAAGTTTTCCCATTACCAAGAAAAACCGACTATTGACATATATATCGCCGCAACTGAAACACTGGAACAAAGTTTTTCAAAACTCGACTTTACCTAATAATACTTTTTCTCCGAATAGACAATTCCAAACTAATAAATCTAAAAACAGCCCTCATTCAGAAAACCGAATTCCCCAATGACATGCCAACACACTCGAATCGGATCCTGAAAATGACCAGAGTTCAGAAATCTGGGTCAAAGTATATAATTTTAGAGTATTCATTCTAATGGACACTGGTGCCAGGTGCAGTGTATTGAATAAAACAATTTTTGAAAAAATTAAAAATCGAGTGGCCAAACCTCTACTTTATTATGGTGCTCTGAAAACGGCTAATGGAACGCTACTCCATATCCTTGGTAAAACATGCCCACTTGATGTTGGAATAGCTGAAGATTTAACTCATCCAGCAATTTTAGGATATGATTTTATGAGTTGATTTAATGTTGGGTTGGACTGCAGAAATCATTTTGTTACATTTGAAGGAAAATTTAATGTACCTATGATCACAACACATATCGACGATAAATTTTCCAGCTTGAAAATGTTGATTCCAATAGTAAAACACAACAACAAAAGAATCAACAATTATCAATACCCTATGGTAATGACCACAGTATGCGTCTTGAAGGAAATGAAGGCAAAACCAAAAAATGAAACTAGCGGTATAGCGCACACCCTAAAAACTTATGAAATTGTCAATTCAAACCAGGGAAAAATACTTTTGAGTAACAATGTTTTTCTTACCATAACCTATGGTGGGTCTAACCAAGTCAAGCTACAAGATGTTAACCCCTTACCTAATTATTTGACCATTAGCAAAAATCAAATAAATAAAGTCATTGTCCTGTTACCCTCAAAAATTCCTAAAGAAAAACGAACAAAAGAGATAGCTCTAAATACAGAAGTTCTCAAAGAAGCTACAAAAATGAGTGATGAATTCAGTTTTGAGAAAACTAACCAGATGACACTGGAAGAAGAAGTTAAACTCGACCCTGGAAACGAACCACCATCTTATATACATTGATTCCAATATATATAAGATGGAGAAAATTGTTAACAAAAGAACAAGAAGAGGAAAAAATACCTATTTAAATAGGAAGATTATCCATTCAGCCAAAATACTTGGGAGCCAGAAGAGAACATTTTTGATCCCCAAGTAATCCAGAAATCCCTTAATAGTAGAAAGACTAGCAAAAGTGGGCATATCTCAGCTCTAACCACGATACGTCTGCACATATGTAGGGAGAAAAACCAAACCAATTGTAGGTTTATGCCGAGAGTATTATGGTGTCTGACCCTTTTACCAACAATAATTAGTGGTTTATTTATCAGCGAAGTTTTTGACTGCATGAAAGTGAAACATAATGGAGTTTATCAATTACCTGCAATTATGTCATGCAGTCATAACATGTATTTGTTAAATGACTCTGTGAAAGCGTTTATGGCAGGCGTCTATGCTTGTAAACCTCAGACAACCACAATAACCCTATTTCATTGTTATGCCGAGAAAGTCACTCTTACCTGTCAATCAAATTTTCTCAATCAAAAGTCTAAAGACCTAACTTCCAAACAAATACCCAGAACAGCAGGAAAATGTCATTTAGCCATGAATACTAAAGTATCGTCTAATAGAGCATTACAAGTAGATAGCTTCTATACACGGCAAACAGTAGCAACAGACCAATATATATGTTTAGTAATGATTTTTATGATGATTATAATGAAATTTTTTTACTGTTTTTCAAATGCGTTGTTTTGCAATAATGATTTTTATGGTGATGCCTTTTAATGCTGAATTATATGATGCTGTGTGCGTTTTGCTGATGTTGCTGTACAATATTAATGAGTTTTCTCGATTGAAATATTAACCATAATGTTAGTTTGCAGTGATGCAGTTTCGTTGTTACAGGTTTAGTCCAAGGACGGACTTTTTCATGCCCCAAAGAAAATTTTACGAAGGTAACAAACCATCTAAGTGTAAAATAATAAATATTAAGCAAATAAGGAGAAACGTTTGGATTAAACAAAGCGTAAAGTGCCTAAACATAAGCATTAGACAAACTTGTTTAAACTATTATTTAAAGATACATTAAAGATGCATTTATTAAACTCCAAAAAGGATATAAAAAGGTGAAGAAATAGTTCAGAGAGCGACGGAAACAGTAGAGAGAGCGATAGAGAGCTAAGGAAATAGTATAGAGCCGCAGACATTAAACAAGAAAAGTGGGAGAAGAAGAGAAAGAAAAATATATATAGACATTTTTAATATATTGAAGTTAATATTGCATTGAATAAATTATAAGAGTTAATAAAGATGTTTTAGTTAGTAACATAATAAATACAATTACATAACAGTTTTAAATAACATTTAACTCTTTTAAACAACGTTCACATAACATTTGGATACGATTCTGTAACATTTTAAAAAAACCGTTGCGTAACAATTATATGTTATATGTTTGTTTTAGTCATGTTTTTTATGATTATATTGTTTTATGTTTTTAAATTTTAAAAATTTTTGTTTTGTTTTTGTTTTTCTATTTTTATATTTGTATGTTTGTAGTTCTATGCTTGTTACAGTTATGGTTATATTGTTTTATGCTTGTTAAATAAAACTTGAATAATGTTTATTTTCTTTATTATTTATTATTTGTTCTAGTTAATTATATAATAGTTGTGATGCAATTTATGGTTAAATAAATATTATTTTACACTTTTAAAAGATGATCAAAGTAGTTGGGAAGACATGGATGAAGAAATTGATCAGTTTTTATCTGCTGAAGAAGAGAGTGCAGATGTAAGTATTTTATTTGTTTAGCTGCATAATGCTTATTCTATAAAAATGTAAATTTTTGTTTTTATTTTGCCTTAATAAAATCTTATTGTTTAATTTAACAAGAATCTTTAATTTAACAATAAAATCAATCCTGTTTTGGTTATACTGAATTTTATTGTGTAAAATAATATTAGGGTAAAATGGGAAAGTTTTGGTGAGACATAATAGGGTTTATACCACAAACTACATGATAATAGACCTGCTGATGCCATTGTTGTGGCATCTACCGATGTCATTGCAGCACCTACCACTTTCTTGATTACCAACATTGCAGCCTCTACTGCTGTCTCAAACACTGCCATAATTTCAGCTAAAGGCTTTGTTGCTGCTTCGCCTGGTATTGCCAAATTGAATAAAAACAAAGCTTCAACAAGCTATCGTACCATAGCTATGCACACTATTCCTGTTCTGGTCTTGAAGAAAAAAATAAAAATTCAAAATTTATTTAGTTCTTCATAAATTTAGTTCTTCCTATAAATTTTTAATCCATGCTAAACCTTACTTTGCCTTGAGCATGGACGAAATGGGATATTGATATTTTTTCCCAACTAATTCCCCCATCTAATCCCAGTTTGCCTTATAAAGATTTTTTATTTTAGATATGGTTTGTTGTGAAATTATGGATCATTACTAGTTAACACTGATTTTTAAATAAATTAATATTTTATTTTGAATTTAATCTCAATTACTTTTTAGAATAACAATATGAGGTTACTCGAGGTCATGGTTAACAATGAAATCCCTGTTAAGGTTTTATCATTTACATTTTAGCTATGTTTTTTTTTGTTTTTTTTTCCATAGAGTAATATTGTCAATAATATATATATATATATATATATATATATATATATATATATATATATATATATATATATATATATATAAAATTAAAAAAATTAGAAAATACGCATAAATTCTTATGCGTATAATACTATAATATTATGGTCTTTTTTGTTAGGTTGTAGGGATGTGTCAAGCATATAATGAACTTGCTGGCCTGTCAAATGAGAAATTTTTACAAGTGTAAGCTTTTATTAACATTAAATTTTCCTCAGCTTTAAAAGCTTAAAAAATGCAAATTTTTTCAAACATTTAATGATATTTCATTTTAGATTAAACAATACTAGAAGTAGGTGTTGGCAATATCTAAGCAACTATGTGGTTATTGCACCTTTAGATGTTTTAGGTGGAATTGACCATGTAAAAATGCTTTGGCTACTTTTAAAAAATACGCTTTTAAATGATCAAGGTAATTCAAAAAGTGCTTTCTAAAAAAGGTTGACATTTTCATCGTTTGTGCGTACTATGGAAAGATTTGTGTGTACATTGAATTTAATTACAATCATTACTGATAAATTTTAAAAATAAAATGTGTTTATGTCATAATTATTCATATTTATGCGTTTTATATTATATTAGTTTTTTCTTAGGAATTCAAAGGAATTGTGAAATCATGGATGCAGCATGTAGTGCAATGAGATCGATTGCATTAAAACTCATTCAGTGTGACTCTTCAAAGGTTTTTTTCTGAGGAAAATTTGATTGCAAAAAATATACTCTTTTATTGTAATATAATCTAAATAATCAAAAATAAATGTTTGCATAAATTTATCGCTCGATTACCTATTTGAACAGCATTTTTTAATTAAATTATTCTGTCACGTAGGTTTGTTGTGAAGAAGTTTTTACAATGATTGCACATATGTTAAAGTTCGAGATAAGTGTATCAGGAAAGATGAATCTTGTGAATGTTCTGGGAATTATTGGAAAAGAATTATGCAATAGTGATACAACATTCGACATATTGATGGTGTGTGTAAAATCTGTTAAAATTGTTTAATTCAAAAAAAAATTCAAAAGCTTTGAGATCAGATAAAAAATCAGCTATCCAATATATTGGCTAACAAATAAATACACAGGATAAAATATACAAAACAAATTAACAGTATAATAGGCTATAATATTAAATAGTATAAATTGTTATTATAGTATAATTTAGTTCTATACATATTGCAAACATTGATGGTTTTCCATTAGCAAAGGTAGTTATTACGTATTTACATCTAAAATAGGTTATAGGTTAAAACAGTTATAGATTACAGGTTATAGGTTAATACAGGTATCAAAAATGTTCAATTAGTTATGAGTTTCAATATTTTTCATCATTTCAAAGATTACCTGTATTATTTAATTAAACTAATATACAAAAAAGTTTTTGAAATTATACGGAAGATTTTATCGATTTTAAATGTGAAAACATTAATTGTTTTTGATTTACTACAAACCTTTTTTTTATTATCATATTTACTGTATCATATTTCAAGTTGTTCCGTTGCATTTTTGGTTTATAAAAAGTTCCATTATAATTCAGTGTGTGTCTTTCAAACCTGTTGTTTTTACATTTATACTAAAGTATGTATAAATATGTTTCTACTATTATGCTATATAAGTTCATACTAATTATTTATCGTCTAAATTACATTGTACATAGCTTTATCAAATTATAAGCCATAAATTTTTAGTCTAATAATTTCTTATAAATTTATATATGTACTTTTTGTTTTGTTTTTGTATATAAAATATTTATGTTTAACTAATTATGCAGTTTTTACAATAAGTTCATAACAGTTGTATTCAATTTGCGGTTGGTTTATTTAGTTTTAAGAAAAAAAAATTATTTTTTAGAAAATAGGAGAGACATTGAAAGACTTACTGTGTGATACTAACTCAACATTGCTTCTGAAAGCTGAAGTAGTTGATGCATCAGTCGACACCTTTGCTGATGGTCCTCTCGTTGATATCATCCTTCAAAATTCTAAACTGTTAGAAAATCTAAAAATTTTTTCTAATGGATTCAAATCACAAGTTAGTTTCACTTTTTATAAAAAATTAAAAATAACCTCTAAGATCATTAGTTACCATTTATGGATGATTTTTAACAATTAGTTTGTTCTTTTTTAGATTAAATGCCATCGAGCAACTTTGGGTGATAATATAGGTATTGTTAATATGGCTCGGATAAATTTGATTCGTTTCTTATCATACAAAGAAAGCAATAGATAGCTTTTTACTGACATCAGTTTATGTATGTTGTATCATCAGCTACCTTAATATTTGCAACTATGATAACGCCTGAGATTTTTTTATTTTCTTTATGTAAGTTATCACAGAGTTTGTGTTAGTAATTATAGAGTGGAGTAATGTAAAAAACCAGTAAAGCCAAAAATATAACCCTGCTTAAGTTTAAGTCAGCTATTCATAAATATTTTTATAGTCATCAATAGATATCTTTTGGGTTACAAGAATATCTATATTTAGGCATATGGGGCTTCTAAAAGACATCTAGACGTCTTTTAAAAGCATTATAAATATATATATATATATATATACAAATCTGTCTACATAAGGACATCTAAAAAATCTAAGAGATATCTTATAGCTATAAGATATCTCTTAGGCCAGTTTTTAGATCATTCTTTTTATTAAATTAAGTTTAAAAGTTCTTTAGAAGGTTTAGCAAGTAATGAAACAATTAGGTTCGAATTATTTGGAATTATTAAACAAAATTAGCAAATATACAATCTGAAACTCTTGTTCTGTATTGATTCCGTCCACCCACCAGGGCCGACAACACGGATTTCGAAGTGGAAAGGAGGGGCACAATCGTAAGTTATTATAAAAAGTCTTCTTTATCTAGAATTTTCACAAAAAAAAAAAAAAAAAAAAAAGTGGGGGAGCGCGTGCCCTTTGGCCCCCCGGTGTTGTCGGCCCTGTCATTGTTTCACATCAACAATATCTAAAATACAGTGTAATAGTAAAAACATAAATTAATTAATTGCTTCTAAAGTCTTGTATAATTCTGCGCGCTGTTTTTCTAATTTTAGAGTGGTTCCATTTTAAATTTTAGAGTAGTCATGACCACACAAGTGGTTATTTTAGGGGTTGTCAATGGTGATTATGGGGTGTTTCAATAATTTTTAAAATAGATGGAACATTATGTATGCCTAAGTATAGGTAACTGTGGTCCGGGAATTCAAATCTGAGTAATTTGGTCTTTAGAAGTGGTCTTTCATTTTTATATGATTTTCTACATTTTCACCAATATTTGAAAAGTAAAATTTTACAATTTTAGTGGTAAAATTGATATACTAAGCTGAAAAAAAGCCGGAAAAAAATTAGTTTTAGAGTGCTGAGGGTCTCTTCATTACATTTAACAAAAGCAATTGCTCCGATATAAAAGTTGGTTTTAAAGGGTTTCGCTCACATCTGACCCATTGTGTAATGTAGGATTGATCCGGGCACCTAGGCGCATTTATGCACAGCCCACCAAAATCGGGGATTTAGAAGGGGCTCCCAATTTTTCAAAGATATGTCACAGCAGTTGTGGTTCTGCGGCTCGGTTTTGCTGTATTCATTCATTCAGTATATTTTTAAAAAGATAAAACCCCAAATGTTTTCTCAAAGACAACTTCTATACTACAAATGAAAAGGAAGAATTCAATAATCTTAAAGGTGTTACCTGAAACACCGTAATAAGAGAGCTTATAGAGAAGATCAGCATGCTAAATTTTATCAAAAGCTTTAAAAGTCTGTTATTAATAATGTTAACAAATCGTTAAAAAACCTTGCTTATGACAGTATGAAGACTAATGGGACAAATCGTTAAAAAACCTTGCTTATGACAGTAAGAAGACTGGGACAAAGACGAGTCAGATAGCTCTCCAGAGTTTTTGAAAAAAAAATTTACTTTTTTTTTTACTTGCAGAAATTGAGTGACTTCTAGAAATTTAGTGACCTTATATTTTACTTAAGTAAAGTAGAGTTTATCATTGTTATTAACGGAATTGTTTAATCATTAAGTATTTTAGTAAAAGGATCCAACTAATTAACTTCTATTGCTCTTTTTCGAGTGTTGTGTGTTAATTAACTTCTCGTATTTCAATTATTGTGTGTTAAATAACTTATATTGCGTTTTTCGAGTATTGTGTGTAATTTTAAATTAAAAAAAAAAAATTTGTTAAACATCAGAACCAGAGTCTTTATCAACTGAGTTTTGTCTTGGTTTTCATATTGGGTTATAAATTTGTTCGAATTCTCAGTTATTTTCGGCTGTTACAAATGATCTCAAATTCTTGACGAGTAAAAAAGTTGTAGATAATGAAAAATTGCTATTTTGACCCATGTGTTCCGGTCTGATAATTGTTTTATTTATTTTTTGTTTATATGTATTCACATTATATATAAATACACACACTTACACGTTAACATATATTTAAGGTAAAATACTTGCTTTTAAAGAAATTTTTAAATTTTAATATACTACCCCTTAAAATGTAGGACATTGGTCTTAAAAATGACTTTCAAAAAATATTAGACTGATTGAATCATAAAAATATATCCCTTGACTGGTTCAAAAGTTACCTGTGTAGCAGAAAACAATGCGTTGTTACAGATCATAATAAATATTCAGACCTACTAGAAATAAAATGCGAAGTTTCCCAAGGTTCCATTTTGGGTCCCTTTTTATTTCTAATATGTATCAACGATCTTCCAAAAGCCCTAAAAAACTTGATGTAATAATGTTCGCTGATAATACAAATTTATTTTACTCATCGCCGTTTATAAGCGACCTTTACGAATCTATGAACACTGACCTCGAAAACCTCAACATCTGGTTTAAAGTAAATAAATTATCTTTGAATACAGAAAAAACAAAATATATCTTGTTTCACTCCAACCGTCTAAAAAACTTTATACCAGGCACTCTACCTTCACTAAAAATTGATAACATAAACATCAAAAGAACTGAAATAACTAAGTTTCTTGGAATAATTATTGACCAGAATATTAATTGGAAAGCCCATATTAATACAATAAACACAAAAATATCAAAAAGTATCGGCGTACTCTACAAAGCCAAACCTATGCTTTCCCAAGACAAGTTAAAAATTCTCTTCTTTTCTTATATTCAAAGTTACTCAACATACGCTAATATTGCATGGGGAAGTACCCATAAAACTAAATTAACTTCACTCTACATACACCAAAAACATGCATCAAGATTAATTTATAATAAAGATAAATTCACTCATGCCAACCCTTTACTTAAAAGTTTGAATGCATTAAATATCTATCAAATAAATATTCACCAAAATATCTTATTCATGCTAAAATACAAACTCGGACTTGTTCCGAAATACTTTACTGATAGCTTTTTTCATATCAACGCAAACAAATGTATCACACGAGGAACAGGCAACTTCACCTTGCCTTAAAAAAAAATAAAATTCTCGCGATTTTCTTTAATATACCGTGGTCTATACTTACATAACAAAATAATGCTTCAAAATATGCAACTTAATAAAATGGATAACCTTATTGCTCTGAAAAAAAAACTAAAACATTTCATAATTAACTTAACCAACTTCATCGAAATGTATTAAACAATTTGGGAATAATAGTAATAATAAAAAGCCATACTACTTCTACTATATAGTAGATACCAAAATACTTATGTGTATTTGTTGAACTAGTTCATTAAAGTTTATTTTATGTTTTAAAGGTTCTCGATGAAAAGACTATTTTAGTCTTCTGCCAGTTTCCTTACAACAATGAAAAATATTTTTTAAGAATAACTTTATATATATATTCAACAACGTTCACAAGCAAGTCTCAATTAGCCCTGTCGTACGACGGACTTGCATATATTTTTTAAATGCATGGGTTAATAGCCAGCACTTTATATTATAAACAACGAATAGTTACCTTATTTTGTACACTGTACAACGCGCATGCACTAAACAGAATATTGAATTTCTTTTGTCTTGTAAAAATTTTAATGGTACAAAAATTGTTTAATTGTACGTTTTGTACTTATATGTAAAAATATGTAATTTTGTTTTATTCAAATTTATACGGATACTTGTGTTGTAAAAAAAAAAAAACCTTTTGTGTCTTCCCCAGTGCCCATTAATATATTTATGAACTATATATTTTTCACCATTGCTGGTGAATAGAAGTGTTTTTAATAAAAACATAAGTAGTAGATGTAAAATGGGGTTTGCACTCAGCTTGGGTTACAAGCATGCGCAAAGTAAACAGCGAATACTATTGGGGGTTTGAGACCACCTTGGGCTACAAGTGTGAACAACCTAAACAGCAACTACTATCAACATGTTTTTACTTTGTGTTATAAGCGTGCGCAAAGTAAACAGCGACTACTATCAACATGTTTTTACTTTGTGTTATAAGCATGCGCAAAGTATGCCTAGGCGTGCACAAGTCAAAAAGTGGTTACTATGGAGTTTAGCGCTAGACGTAGTTGCTGCGCACTGTTTTTTACAATAGTCCTAAAATATTTCTTCAGACCGTTCTATTAGGCGCCCATTTCAAAGAAACATTTAGAGTTTTTTTTTAACTTTGAACATACTTACAATGGACAAGAAATTATCATCAGTTTACTACAGTCCCAAAGCATACTGGTGTGGAGTTTTTGCTATTAAAAAGCTTGCAACAACCGCCAAGGTTTCTAAAAAGGCCGCTGGAGAATGGTTAAGGAAACAGGCTGTGTGGCAAATTTAATTAGCAGCTCCAAGCTACATACCAAGACCAACTATAATTGAAAGCAGTCCTAATACGATTCATCAAACAGACTTACTTTATTTGCCATTCGACAAAGTCGGCCGACGAACTTACAAATACGCTCTAACAATTGTCGACGTAGCGAGTCACTATAAGGAAGCTGAGTTCCTTATAAACAAGACGGCAGCTGAAGTTGCAGATGTCTTAACTCGCATATACAATCGCGGTCCACTAACTTGGCCGCGTTTACTTCAGGTAAATCCCGGCCGCGAATTTATGGGAGCAACGACTCAACTTCTTACGAAGCATAATGTTCAGGTGCGACGAGACGCAGCCGCAAACCATCGTGAGCAAGAAATCGTTGAGCGTTTTAATTGCACTTTAGTAGAAAGGCTATTCGGTGCACAATATGCTCAAGAATTGTTAATGACAGTACATGGTTCTTCTGAGAGATCAGCAAAATGGGTAAAGTCATTACCATCAGTGTTAGTTGCTCTTAAAAATGAGACAACTCGGCTGATAGGTAAGAAGTCTAAAGATGCTATCAA